TGCCTCAACCTCATTCCTAAAGGTGGAAATGTAACTACCTCATTTCACTTCAAAGGGAAAATCCTCTTTGGGGACAAGGACATAAAGGAAACTAGATTCCATGGCGTCCGCTGCTGGCCTCTGGGCTTAAAGTGATTTCCAGTAGAGCTGGAACGGAGCTCGGGCCTCTGGAGGCAGGGAGCTTGCACCCGATGCTCCGCGCCTCTATCCAGCAGTGGGGCCCGGCCCGCCCTGCCCTGCGCCAGCCTCCGCAGACAGGAGCGTGCTCTGTCCTGGCATTCCCCCAGCGACAGCCATCCTCCTCACCGCAGCCATTCTGACCGGCTGGGCCGGGGATCCAACATCTCTCCATCCCCTCTGCTCTCAGCTCCAACCTGCCCAGGCCCCGTGCTCCCCCCAAGTCCCCAGGACTCATCCCGGTCATCTCATCTCCAGCCCCCTACCCAGGCAGCCCCACGACCCTGCGGTTACCCACATCCCCCGCCCCAACTGCTCATCGGCCTCTCCCCCGGCCCAGGTATGAGCTCCGGGTCATCGTGTGGAACACGGACGAGGTGGTCCTGGAGGACGATGACTTCTTCACTGGGGAGAAGTCCAGTGACATTTTTGTGCGAGGGTGGGTGAGAGGTCCCCGGCTGGGCGGGCGGGCAGGGGCTGAGCAGGGTGAGCCTGCCTTCCTGGTGGCAGGGGAAGAGGGCGAGGACAGAGGGAGCAGTCAGGTGGGGAGAGGCCCCACCGGCGTGGCTGCAGGTCTGCGGCGGGCGGCTCTCTGCAGGTGGCTGAAGGGCCAGCAGGAGGACAAGCAGGACACGGATGTCCACTACCACTCCCTGACCGGGGAGGGCAACTTCAACTGGCGCTACATCTTCCCCTTTGACTACCTGGCTGCCGAGGAAAAGATCGTCATCTCCAAAAAGGAGTCCATGTTCTCCTGGGACGAGACTGAATACAAGATCCCAGCGCGGCTCACCCTGCAGATCTGGGACGCCGACCACTTCTCTGCCGACGACTTCCTGGGTGCAGGGCGGGGCGGGGCGCAGGAACTGGGGCCCCGAAGGGAGGGGGTGGGGAAGGGGAAGGTGGGGATGGGGAGAGCCTATTCTGGGCGTGGGGCAGGGTCATTGCAACCGGCCCAGCCGGCAGCACTGACTCTGAGGCTGCCACAGGAGCCATCGAGCTGGACCTGAACCGGTTCCCGCGGGGCGCGAAGACAGCCAAGCAGTGCACCATGGAGATGGCCACGGGGGAGATGGACGTGCCCCTGGTTTCCATCTTCAAGCAGAAGCGTGTCAAAGGCTGGTGGCCCCTCCTGGCTCGCGATGAGAATGACGAGTTTGAGCTCACGGTGGGCAGCACCACTGCTCAGGCAGCGGCCGGGGCTGAGCTGGTGCTGGGGGCCTGGCACCCAGCCCGGACGTTGGCACAGTCCCCTTCCTCCTGCAGGGCAAGGTGGAGGCAGAGCTGCATCTCCTAACAGCCGAGGAGGCAGAGAAGAACCCAGTGGGCCTCGCCCGCAACGAGCCGGACCCCCTAGAGAAACCCAAGTGAGTGCCCTGCCAGCCCAGGGCCCCTGCAGACCCTGGAACAGGAAAGAGGGGCCAGAACCTTCTGGTCTTCTTGCCCCAACTCGGCAGGCACCCCTGCCCTCTGACCCCTTCCCGAGAGCTAAGGCGGCCTGGAGTGGGCCCCTCCTGCCACTCCCTGAGCCTTCACTTCTGCGTCCTTTCTCTGTGCTCCCCCTGCGCCTCTTGCTGCTCCAGCCGGCCAGACACGAGCTTCATCTGGTTCTTGAACCCTCTCAAGTCTGCCCGCTACTTCCTATGGCACACGTATCGCTGGCTGCTCCTCAAACTGCTGCTGCTCCTGCTGCTGCTCCTCCTCTTCGCGCTTTTCCTCTACTCTGTGCCAGGCTACCTAGTCAAGAAGATTCTCGGGGCCTGAGCCCGCCATCCTCCTGGTCTGGTACTCCTCCCTTCTTCCTCTGCACATAGGGCGCACGAGCTCGACAGCATGTGCAACACACACACACACACACACACACAAAACACATGATTGCACACACACGTCCATACGCAGGGCAACTTTCAAGCACTTAGACAGTTTCGTAGGCTCTCCGAGCTGGAAATGACTATTTTCTATGATGCCATATTAGGCCCAAGAGGAGAAGTAGCTTGCCCAAGATCCCCCAGCAAATTAGGGGAGCGCTAGGACTCAGCCTAGGTTTCCATGTTGTCAGTCCAGCATTCTTCGAACTGTGCCGCTTCCTCTCCCAGCGACATTCCTGACAGACTCACCCCACTCCACTGGCAGAGAGAAGCTGAGAGAGGGGCAGGGAAAGGGGAAGAGGTTGGCTAGGCTTAGCCAGCAAGTCCTGAGCAGTCCCTCAGCGTCTACCTGCCGACCCACGGCCCTCCTCCTCCCTGCAGGGCAGTAAGTAGCTCCGTCCAGTTCCACAGTCTTAGTAGCAAACGTGCTGAGCACCCGCTCAGTGCCAGACACTGTGCTGGGAGCGTCATCCTTCCTGTCACTTCACCCTTTCACCTTCCGGCTCTACTGCTCACCCGTCGTATAAGCGAGGACACAGAGCCTCTGAGAGGCGCTAACTGGCGTGTCCCCGCTGGGGTGGGACACTGGGCATACTGCACCCATGCCCCGCTCTGCAGCCCCACCGGCACTGAGCACAGCTCTAGGGGGCGCAGTCCCCGTCCTCCAAGAGTCGGCGGGGCAGGAGTCTGAAAAAGCATATGCAATGCTCCAGTTTTATATCTTGACATTTTATAAAACCTATTGTCTTATAACACAAGCAACAGAATGCAAAGCTCGACAAGCGCTTCTTGGCTAGGTGGCCATGCAGAAGGTAGAGCAGAGGTCACACCCTGACAGTGGGCATGTCAGCGAGTGGCCGTGTGCCCTGCGGGGGCTCCTCTGGCCCCGGGGCAGAAGTTTACGTTCACCAGGAAGTGGTGGGGGGAGGCTGAGAAGCATGACCTCCCTGAGAGGGAACGGGCAGCACTGGGCTCTAGTCAACGAACTGCCGCATAGAGGCGCTTCCTAACTATCAGCCCTGCCTGGGGCTGCGGCTGCAGGTGTTCGGGTAGAGGCTGGAGGCTGCACAACAGCCAGAAATGTCACCTAGACCTTGGGAGGAGGTCGGGATGCCGGAGGGTCCTGCAAATGGGAGTGTAAGCAGCAAACCTGGCGCCTAGAAATGGGCTTAGATTCTGTCTGCAGCGCTCACCACTTTGGGGACTGAGGCTGTGACTGACGGGGTCTCTTGGGGCCTAAAAGGGTGCAGGGGATGATGGGGTACCCTGAGAGGTGCCCACTGCCTGACTGCAGCTCTCCCTCCTCCAGCCGGCCTGACACCGCCTTCGTCTGGTTCCTCAACCCCCTCAAGTCCATCAAGTACCTCATCTGCACGCGGTACAAGTGGCTCATCATCAAGATCGTGCTGGCGCTGCTGGCGCTGCTCATGCTGGGCCTCTTCCTCTACAGCCTCCCCGGCTACATGGTCAAGAAGCTCCTAGGGGCGTGAAGTCCCCACAGCCTCCCCCGCAGCTCCTCTCCTGGGCCTGTGTGTGCGCCCCTCCCCGGGTGTGGGCTTTCCAGACTCCCTGGGAGGAGCCTGAGGAGCCTGAGGAGCCCGAGCCCGCCCTGCAGGCCTCGGGCCCCAGGAGCCTGTCTCCTGCTTGCTGGGCTGGTAACAGCCCACTGCCCGCCCTCTCCTCCTCAGGCCCGTGCTTGCCAGTTGGACGCCAGTTGGTCGTGCCCTTCTGGTCCCTGCCCGTGCAGTGGGGGTGTGGCAGGGGTCTGCCCCACCCCACTGAGGCCCCACCCTCCTTCAGGCCCGGGCTCCCAGGAAGCCACCGCGATCCCTCCCCCAGGCCTTCCAGTCAAGGACTAAATCTTTAATGAAATTAACCCAGAATCATGGACCAGTGCCCAGGGCTTTAAAAAAATGAATGAGCAAAGAGCATCACCCTCCCCTCCCGGAGACATATCCTGTGGGGGCAGTGATACCTCGGGTCTTTGTTCTGCAGAAGTGGGCCAGGCCCTCCCCACGGATCCTGTGGGGGGTGGGGCTGCTTCCACCCCCTGCGCACCCACGTGGCTCCTCCTCCTGCCTGGGCAGCCCCCAGGCAGGGACTTGTGGGTGATTTGTGGGTTTTTATCAATCCTCCGAGCTTCCTCTCTCCAGGCTGGTGCCCGCAAGCCTAGCCGAGGGGCAGCGAGGGTGAGCCCCTTTGCCCTCCCCACTGCCCCAGGCAACCCCTGCCCTCCCTACCCCTGCAAGCCGGCCCTTCCGGTCCCTCCAGCTGCAGCCAGGACTTTGTACTTGAAGTACTGCCCCCTGCCTGTGCGAGCTGGGATTCTCTTGGCTGCTTTTCCTTCCTTGAGTGGTGATGTTTCTCTTAATAAATCAAACACTGAGCTGACAAATGTGCTCAAGTGGAGGGGACTGGTGCGGGGCGCAAGGCCAGGGGGCACTCTGAGGTTGGCCAACTCAGTGACAGCTGGCCGCTCTGACATTTCCTTTGGTGGCCCCGTGGCCCAGGGTTCAGGGCAGGCCTAGGGTACAGGGCCACCTGCCCAGGCCGCCCACGGGAGGAGCCTCACACCACAGCCCGGGGGGCACAGCAGGGTGCACCCAGGGGCCTCAGAAGCTCACCAAAAGGGTCCTGCCGCAGGCCCAAGGGCAGTCTGAGAGCTGAAGACCCCACACGCTGCCCTGTGCATGTCCAGCTTCCATGCGCAGACACCAACTGCCCCCCAAAACAACAAGGGAGCCCCACGCCGCCAGCCTGGCCTCGTCTCAAGGCAACAGGCCTGTTCTCCTGCCACAGTCTGAGGCTGAGGACACAGTGCTCTCATGACCCTGAGGCAGGGGAAGGGGTCCATGTCTCACTGGACCTGACCTCTATAAAAAGATTCAGACACAACTTTTCAATGACTTTAATCGTGACTATAGGATGCAGGTGACTCCTCTTGCCGTTTTACAACAGCAGCTCTGGGAAATGCAGAGTGCGCCCTGCGGCCCCCAACCCCGGGGGGCACGCGCCGGCCCCCACACCAGCACTGGCGCCAGCGTGTGCTCTTCAGGTCCGGTTCGGCTTCATGGGCATCCGGAGCACCTGGGTGGGCGGAACCTGCAGTTCTGAGTTTACCTGGAAAAGAGGGAGCGAAGGTCATTACCTGCTCCCCAGGGTCCTCCTTCTACAGGACCTCTGGGGGTCAGGTGCACTTGTCGACTCCCACAGGCCTCTGCATCTCTGCATGCATCCCCCGCCCCCATGCTTCCAGGTGTCTGGGGAGGCCCACATCTGCCTTCCTGCGGAAGACGAGTTCCAGAGCATCTGGTTGGGCTTCCGCTCCAGTTAGTGAACCTCTGGGGATGTTCTTAGCCTTCCACTCTCATCCATTCTCTTAAATTCTCTTTCCCTCTCCACCTGCCATCCCATCCCCCAGTCTAGCCCTGCCCTTCCCCTCATGCCCCCCATCCTCTGGTGCACTGTAGCAGCGATGGAAGGGTGGTCCCATGGCCCCTAATGTCTGAATCCTGTCACGGGCCACGAGGTCATTGGGACATCCAAGCTTACCCCTGGATGTGACCTTACAAGCTGTTCACATGTGACCTGGGGCCTGAAACCACACTGGGCCACATGGCTCCAGGGCCTGGGTTTGTGGCTAGCCTGTCACTTCTCACACATGGCTGACCGCAGAGGAGCCATGCTCTGCCCGGCCCACGGCCTGAGCACCACATGATGGACACCCCACCAGCAAGTCAGAGCCTGCAAATGACTGTTCTGACCAAAGGGGGAGGGGTGGTGAGGTCCCTCCCCTTGTCAGGCCATGGGGGAGTCTCCCAGCTGTGGCTGGAGTGGGCAGAAGTGGTGGCCAGGGAACATCCGTCCCAGGTGGCACCCCCTCTGCGCAGGCCGGACACCTGGGCCGGCAGGGCGGGGAGCGCCGAGCTCGGGGCCAGTCACAGTCTCCAGGCTTTGAATTTCCGTCTTGTGAAAGGGGCAGAGCTCTTTCTGCCCTCTCTTTCTCACAGGCTGGTTGTTAGGACCGAAAAAGAAAACTCGCCGGGAAGCGCTGAGCCAGCGGCCCCACGGTGCCGCTCCAGCCCCACTTACGAGCAGGGTCCCACAGCAGCGGTGCCCAGGACCTCGGCCTCACGGACACCGTGGCCACCCACATCCCAAAGTGCGCCTGCCTTGGGTCGGGGAGGAGGCTTCTCACCTCCTAACACCAGCTCCAGTGCCCCTCACCTCCCCCCCACACGCCCAGCCTCCTGCCCACCCCCTGGAGGGTCCCCGTCACCCACCTTGGCGTCTAGATACCGCTGCAGCAGCGCCTGCAGCTCGGTGTTCTGCTGCTCCAGGGCGTCGTTTTCCATCAGCAGCTTGGCCCTCTGGGTCAGGACGAGGCTTTGGGCAGGAAAGTCAGTGAGACGCCTGCAGCTTCCTCCACCCTCTACCAAGGATCCCCGAGTTTCAGTCCTGGCTGGAAGGAGAAGGGGACCCAAGGAGCTGCACCCGCCACTGCGGGCCTCCTGCCTGGAAGGAGCTAGGCTAGCGGGACCAGGACAGAAAAGGCAGGGCCAGGGCGCCAGTCACCAGCACTGCACACCCCCAACAGGAGTTGCCAAAGGCAGCTTCTCTCTGAGGGTTCAAGGTCAGGGAGGTGGCAAGTGTGGCGCTCCGAGCGGGCCCCTCCCCACCACCCGTCCAGCGCCCCTCCTGGGCCGCGGCGCACACTCACTGGTATTTCTCCAGGGCTGTGTATAGGCCGTCCCAGAGGTTCTGCGTGCTCTGAGGGATGACCGTGGCCAGGGCCTGCCAGTACTCGGAGTCCTTGGAGGTGTCTTGCACATCCTTCAGCGGCTTCACTGGTGCCGGAGAGTCCCTGAAGGTCAAGGGGCACTGGTGCCATCACGTCCACCTGGCACCACCCAGATTGCCAAGCACCTCCAGTCACAGCGCCTGTCCCTCACAGACTTCCCGCTTTCCCACAGGTCCCCTTCCCAGTCAGTTATACAATATTATCAGATTCTGCAAGATTCTCAGGAAGGACACATGCTTATCATCACTTTTCCCAAGTGGTTCTTGGTGCCATTGTCACTTCTGTGAGCACCGCCAGAGTTTTATCCTCCCTTTTTCTCTCCATCAGTTTATCTCACTGGCCATAAGGCTCATTACTATGCCCATTTCTCTCACTAAAGCATCCAAAACAGCTCTCAAAACCTGTCATCGCCTCTCCAGCCCCTCCAGGATGGCCTTGACCTGGATGTCGCCTCTCACCTGGACAAATCTTCCCATTGCTCCCCTTGTACCCAACATCAGCTCCCTCTCCGTCGCCAAAGTGACCCTTCTAATATGCAAGTCCAAGCCCGGCTCCGCCGCTGCTGAAGGTCCTTTCTGGCTCCAGGCCACGGGAGGGCAAAGACCAAGATATTGGGCACGTTCGGCCAGGCGCCCCCAGGTCCGCCCCAGCCTGCCAGCCCCCAGGTCCACCCCTGCCCGCCAGCCCCACTCCCGGGCCGCTGACACTCCAGCCACGCCTCTGTCATTCTTCCTGAACACACAGGCCTCTTCCTGTGCGGTGACGCCCTGAAACGTCCTTTCCTCCCCTTCGTCCGCCTAGGAAAGCCCAGTTCTGGAGCCACCCTGTCCCCGAGTCCCCTCTGACAGGCCTCCCCTGAGCAACATGACACCTCGTATATACTTTGACCGTTGTTCTGCCCACAAGGTGTTACTCCTATGGGCCTGCACCTAGCAGACCCCGATAAATGTCTGTTGAATGAAGGAATGAAGGAGTGAATCATGAATGAAATCACTTCTATGCCCTGTTTCTTTCGTTTTAACGTCCACCCATTCCTCTAGCCCTGCCTTCGGATACCCTTCCGCGCACTCCCCCAAGGCCTGGCTCAGCAGCCTCCCTGGGTCCCACCCAGCTCCCCCAGCTCCCAGGCAAGCCCTCCTGGCACCCACCTGGGCTTCTTCAGACCCATGACAAAGGCCTCCAGAACCTTAAGGACGTCGTTGGGGTGGATGAGCCTGGGGGAAGAGGGGACCTCCTCCTCTGCCACAGGACTTCCCTTCTCCTCTCCCTGGGGGTCCAGCTGCTCTGCCGCCTCCCTTGCGGACATCAGGCTTGTTCGCTCCTGCAGGGGGGGACAGGTTCCAGGGGTCCATCTGGAGAAGGGTGCCGGGGTGACTGCGGGTGGGGAGTACACGAGCATGAGCACATCAAAAGAGACAGGGAGCCATAAAGAGAGAAAAGTGTATGTAAAGTTACAGAAAAGATCAAAGGGAGACATTTGCACAAGAAAGGAAGAGTGAGGAGAAAGAGTGGAAGAGAAGGGGGAGGGGACCAGGGAGGGGCACATTGGGGCTCCCAACGCTGGTCAGGCTCTATTTCTAAACCCAGGTTCACAGGGGCTCATGGCACTGACACTCACAAAGCTTGCATGACACAGACCTCCTTTTGAATCCTAATACAAAATACATTTTATTTTAATTTTTAAATTAAAAAAACTCTTCCTCCTACTCTTACCTCTCAGTTCATTCAGTTTACTCCCCACAGACAGACCAGTGTTGTCAGTTTCTTATGTAGCCTTCCAAAGACATATCATGTCCATACAAGCACACGTTTTTCCATCCCATTTTCACATGAATGATACAATCCAACGTACATAATTCTGCACTTTGCTTTTTTCACATACCAATAAATCTTAGTGGTCTTTGCCAATAAATACACAAAGAACTTTCTGTTCTTTTTTTTTTTTACAGCTGGATAGTATTCCGTTGCATAGATGCCCCATATATCATTTAATCAAGTCCTAAATGATGGAAATTTGGTTGTCTCCAATCTTCTGCCACTTCACACAATGCTGCAATGAATAAGCTACAACAAACATATTTCAAATGTGTGTATATATATATCCGAGGAGAGAAGCTTCAGGGTAAGGTGTGTGCAGTTTTGTAACTGATGCTGCCAAATGCCCTCCGTGGAGGCTGCAACCACTTGCCCTCCCACCAGCAACCTGGGAGCGTGCCTGCTTCCCACGCCTCAGCCACCGCAATGGCTCTCAACCTTGCAGATTTCTGCCAGCCTGACAGGCGAAAATAAATCTGAGCAGTTTTAATTTGCATTTCTCTTGTTACAAGAAAGTCCCATTACCTTTTTACAGGTTTAAAAGTTATTTGTATCGCCGCTTCTAGGTGGTGTTTGTTCAGGGCCCTTGTCTGCTCCATTGAGCTGTTGGTCTTTTTCTTACTGGTTTATGGGAATTCTTTACATATTGAGGAAATTAGCCCCTAACTGTCAAGAGTTAAAAATATTTTTTTCCCAGCTGTCATGTGTATCTTAACTTTATTTATAGTGATTTTGCCCTACAGAATTTTTTTAATATAGTCAAATATATCCTTTTTTTCTTCATTATGGCTTCTGGCTTTTGTCCACACAACCAACTCGTTTTGGGATCATATCAGAGGCCAGCAATACTATTAAAAACATCTTTTAAATTCAAGTTTTTAATTTTTAAACAAAAATCTTACATTTTTATCATAATGACTTCCTCAGAAAAATCAATGACAATCAAAATAGGCAATAAAATGGGCTCAGCTTTGCAGGACATTGTTACAGAGCAAAAATCGATAAGCTGGTGGGCCCGGGTCTCACCTGGGAGGCCTGGCTTTGAGCGGGAGGAGACCCCCTGGGCCTCAGCATCACAGCAGCCTCTCATCCCCAGCCATTGTTCCCTTTGCAAATAGAAAAGGCAATAATAATAAAGGAAATGCAAACTTGGCCATCCCTGCCATAAGACCCTCACTGTTCCTCTAGAAACACTGTTCAATGGTAGCAATGCCTTCTGGGGGCTTCCGGGAGGGTTTACAATGCTCTTTTCAATTGCATTTCACCTCACCTGGCTGGAAGGCAGGTGATGAGCTTGGTATTTGAGGAAGAAGTTCACCAGTTTATACAGGTCATCCTCATTTTCAATTCCAAGGGCCTGTGGAGAAGAGCAGAGGGACTGTGCAAACACCACGCCCGGAGGCTGCCTGCCGCAGCGGGTGTCAGACCCTCGGCTCCCAAGAGAGAGGCTTGGCTTCCTCCCCTCAGCACCCCGGGCGGCTGCCACGCCCAAGGAGAGGCCATGCAACACGGGAACCCACAGTGAACAGGGGACGCACGTGTCAGGTCAGACAATCACAGCTCAGGGTCACGCAGGCCCAGTGGTGGGTACAAGGGTGCTAGAGGGGGCTGAACACACATCCGAGCTGAGGGGCGTGGGGGAGAACCTGCAGCCCGAGAGCTGGCCACGAGAGAGACGCCAGCAGAGGAAGGGCCGGGGATGGGAGACATCGGAAGGACTCAGCGGCCAGCTTGCCGCCTGGAGCGTACGCAAAGGGAGCGATGGGCTGGCGAGCCCAGGAAGCCCTGGGAGACTGTCTATTCCCAGAGCTGAGGCAACGGTGGACAAACACAGGGGGCTGTCTTCAAATGAGGCCCCCCCACCACGTCCACTCAGCCCCGTGGGACTCACGGAGAAAATGGCGTCCAACCTCAGCAGGTAGCATTCGTTCTTCTCCAGGGGAAGGAGGAGGCTCAGCAGCTTGCTCTCTATGAGGAAACCCTGAGGAGAAGGAAGACGACACCTCCAGTTGGAGGCAGCTTTCAGGAGCGCGTCCTAGGCTCTAGCCTCCTCTGTGTGACCAGCTGGGAACGACCCCTCAGAGCAGAACCCCAGGGACAAGGCCCTGGTTCTGTGGGCTCCCCAGAGGGAGGCCTTCAGGTGCCTTCGAGCCCCGACCCGGAACAAAGCCACCCCTCCTCATGGGCTTAGTCCCCCCACCTCAGGAGGGTGCTGACGCACCTCACCCACAAGCTCCCAGGGAAACACCTGGGGTGCCCACAACAGTCCAGACCCGATCCAGTCACAGACACCCACCCACCTACCATGTCACTTCACTCATACCCAGTCCCCAATATCTAGAGCACACAGCAGCAGGCACGGAAAGGCTGGAAACAGGCAGCGGACAGGCGGCCTGCGAGCCTGCAAACAGAGCGGGGACACCTGCCGGCTGTCCTCTTCGGCAGGAGCCAGACTTTGTGCCAAGGAAAACTGCCCCAACTGTCCCAAGGGGGTTGGAGGCCGCTGATCCTTGCTCCTCCCCTTTCACCATCTCACAACTGTAAAATCTAAATAAACACCCATCACGTGTGGGGACAACCCAGCTTCCAGCTGAGTCAGCTCCGATGCGGCCCTTACCCTGGGCCCGGCGGGGTTTGCTAACACGCAATGCAGACGGCCGAAGCCTAGTGCACCCAGAGGAACCGCCCATGGGGCTCCCAGAGAAAGGCCGTGTCGGCTGTGACCCCACTGCTTGCAGGTGGGTTCACAGAGGCATCACTGGTGCCCCTCTTCCTGTAGAAGGAGCATTTAAAGAAAAACTGCAGGAGCCCCTTGGCCAGCCTGGACTACGTCTGCCTGACCCACGAAGGGAGGACCCATTTGCCAGGGGAGCCAGCTCTGAGGCATGGCCTGTCTGTGGCGTCCTAGCAATACTCCCGAGGGCTGGTCCACTCCTGCCGCCAGGCCATGTCTGGCCCGGCCAGAGTCATCAGAAGCAGCACAAGCAGCAGCAGCAGCAGCAGGAAGCCAGCGAGGCACCTGCCAGGAGCCCCTCTGCCGCAGCCCCTCACCGACTCGTCACACAGGAGCATCAGGATCTTCCTGGTAGTTTTCGCTGAAACTTGCTTTGGCAGGTCCAGGTAAGACGCTGGTTCTGCGCCGGCCTCCTCCGCCCCCTCCTCTTCTGCAGGTGGGACATAGAGCGGGGAGAGAGAAGAGAAGAAAAAGATCATTCCTCCGCCTGGCTGACTTTGAGAAACGGTCAAATGTCTTCCCTTGACAAAATTAAACCTCTTTAAGGTGCTATCAAGTCCCTTTAGCTGAAGAAAGTCTATTATGGGGGAAAAACAGGTTGGAATAAGAGACTACCTGGAAAATTCTGCCATTCTCGGACAGCCTCTAATGCCTCCCTTTTCCACATTTCATCTACCTGGAAACATCTTACTCAAAATCCAGCCATGACCAGGAAGTGGCAGCTGCAGAGAGAGTGGGCCTGTCGCCCCTGCCTTAGAGCTCCACCCCGCGCCCCGGCCCGCGGTCCCTCCACCCGCCACACGTCAGAAGCAGCCACCTTAACAGTGGGGAGAGCGGCTGCCTCCCAGGAGAACAGTGCCAGCCAGAACGGGTGGCTGACAGCAAGGGCCAAAAATTGTCTTAATTAAAAATTAAACACTTTTAAGTGTTTTAGACTATACGTTCTTCATCTGAAAATAGGAATAAAAATTATAGTATGACCCAAGTTTCACCAGTTGTTCAAAAGGGACAATCAGTCCCTTTAAAAAAAAATTTTTTTTAAAAGGCAATCCCAAATATCAGGTAAAATGAGATAAGATTTTGAAAAGTACAAGATATCAAATTACTAGTGGGAACACAAAATGGTACCACCCTAGGGAGCCAGAGCCAAGAGAAGGAGAGAGGCATTTGCCCTTTGATCCTGTGTTCCTTCTGCCAGGGACCCATCCTCAAGACTCACTAGCAAAGCCATGAAAACCCACATACATGAAGCTCCTTATTGCAGCAATGTCTGTGATAGCAAAAATGAGCAAACAAAAAACTGGAAATACCCCAAATAATCAGCAGAGGACTATCTGAATCAATAACGGCCTGGCCGTACAATAGAGCACCAAATAACAAGAGATAAGAGTAATAACAATTACTACAATAGTAATTGTAGTAACAATTACTACAGTCTGTAGTAATAAGAAGAACTACACTTTATTCAAAGATGACTAGGGATGTGTCTATAGGACCCAGAGGCAACATGAAGAGACTCCCACTAGCCAAAGACGAGACCATCTGAGCATCAGTAAGGATAATAACCGCAGTAAAGCATAACATATCAAATTTGTTTAAATCCATGTGTTCAAATATATAATTTGGAAAACACTAGAGACGCAACCCATTTATTCTGCAAACTGGTAAATGGAGAAAGAATAAGCATGTATCCTACTTTTCCTATACAAACTGTATCTCAGAGTAACAAATAGCTGATGAGGTGAAGATTCTCTTTTTGGAAGCATTCCAGCTAATAAATGATGGCATTATGATAAAATCTAGAACATTGCCATTTCGCAATCCCTGCTGCAGTTAAGATATCTTACACAATGATTATCAATGGTTGCTAACATCACAAAAAGAGAGACAACCTGACCTTAGTTTATCCCAAGGGTGGTACACAACAGGGTGCTTAGCAAAAATAAATTGAACCTGTATCTGCTGTCAAGCTTCGAGACCTAACTTCCAATTTGTAATACAGGGGAGAGGGTAAAGCTATAAATTAGATACTTAAAAGCCATGTCAACCAATCGTAGTCTACAGACCTCTTAACCCTGAGACAACTTCCCCTTCCCTAGACTGCAGCTTCCTTATTTACAGAATGAATGGGCGGACCTGATGTTCTCAGGGGGCCTCTCCAGCCCTAAGACTCTATGGCTCTGTTCTACTCACCTGTTTGCATCAGCACCTCTTCTAATACTTGTGTGGCGGACTTCTGCGGCTGATGAGATAGAGGCCCCACGTTCTTCAGGAACCAGTAATCAGGTGCTGTCCAGGGGAGCCCCAGGTGATGAGTGTGGATGATCCTGTCTATATCAAAGGCTCTGCTTATCAGATCCTTTGCCTCCTCTTCATTCATCAGCCAAATCTCCCGAAACTTCTCACGATCAATGAGAGCAAAATGCCTGTGAAGGAGAGTTACTGAGCATGGTCAGCTGAGCCCTGGGCCTGGCTAGGGTCCCCTCAATGAGTAGGAGAGACAACTGTGGTAGATCCTGGGCCACTGCCCCTCACCTGTGACAGACTGACGGCCCTCCCAGTAAGTCTCAAGAAAAGGTAGGTGACATGCAAATAAAGGAACAATGAAGAAAGCACAGAGGACTCTTCAGTGCCCTGATCCAGCTCAGGAACAGCAGCCAATATCAAAGTCTAATGAAATCACAGCCACCACCAGCTTTACCCTGGAACCTCTGTTCTGGGACCCAATCCCTGAAATACCTCATGGATTTCTGCAGCTCCTTGAACTGTACCACAAGGTTTTTGTAGTCGGTGGTTAGCGACTGGTTCTCTTCCTGAAACTGCTTTATCTGCTTGGCATATTTTGATCTCAGGTTGTTAAGTGTATCGTGCATGCTGGGTAGAAGGGGGAAAAAGAGTTAGTCTGCTGCTGAATGGAAGGCGCAGTGTTCCTTTCACCTACTTTGCTCAGTTCTCCAGAACCCAGGATCAGACAGAAGACCCTCCCACATATCCCCAAATTCAGCTTCCATGGTGATCAAGGAAAGGAAGGAGACAGGAGGTCATGGGATCATCCAGAACTAAATGCATTTAAAGCAGCACAGAAGCCCAAGGCCACCAAGAGGCCATCTCCTGTTCAGGAGTGTGACTGATTCTTCCTCAACACACCATGCATCAGTGTCCCTATCTCGTGCCAACCTCACATATTTAAATCACCTATCTCCATTCTGACCTTCTGAAATAAGGCAGAGATAAAAGAAAATATTAGCACTGCACATCACAAGCCTGGGATATTATGAGTCCTCCATTCTCTAAGAGCTGACACCGTTAACAAGCCCAATCACTTATTCACTCACTCACTCATTCATTTATCAAACATGAAAGGTCTCCTTTGTGCCAAAGATGTGTTCCAACACAAAGATGAACAAGAAGATATCAGCCCTGGCTGGTGTGGCTCAGTGAATTGAGCACCAGCCTGCAAACCAGGGGGTCGCCGGTTTGATTCCCAGTCAGAGCACATGCCTGGGTTGCGGGCCAGGTCCCCAGTAGGGGGCACACATGAGAGGCAACCACACATTGATGTTTCTTTCCCTCTCTTTCTCCCTCCCTTCCCTTCCGTCTAAAAATAAATAAAATTTTTTAGAAAAGAAAAAGAAGATATCAGTCCAGTCAGAGACAAAGGCCAACATTAATTACAGTCCAGGGTTGAAAATGCTATAGGAGAGCTTTACACCGGATGCCAGGGGGGCCCAGAGGGGAGGCTTGTCACCCCGTTTGCAGGGGATGGGAGTAGTCAAAGGCTCCAGCACAGTGCCACGCAGAGCCTGGCCAAGAGCGCCGTGCAGACAAGCACGCCACCGCCCCCGGCCCCGCTGATGCTAGGAGCTCAGGGCTCGGAAACTTGTCCCATGAAATATGCATCGCAGGTGTGGCTTTGAGGCGCAGGACCACACTTCAGACTTCAAACTACTGAAGAGGTGTCTTATGTCAGTGCCCCACTTCCACAGGAATAGAGAATTTGAAGGCTGACACATTTGAAGTCTAAAAATCTGAAAAATACAATTTTCCCTCTTAAGCGTTATTCTGAAATAATCAGGAGGTCCCTAAAACACAAACACTGATCATTCATATTTCCACCTTCAATAATATGTACAATTAGTTAACATAGTTTCTCATTTAAAAAAAAATCTAATTCATTTTCTTAACTATAGCATTCTAGGAGACTTTCCATAGACAGGTGTCAAAAAAAATTTTTAAGTAGCTGTTCCAAAGTGTTTTTCAACGTCATTTGGTAAAGGAGTTTCTTTGTGCCATCTAATTATAGAAGCTATTAAAACAAAGATAAACTCCAGTTGCACGCTGAAGGTCTGCAAGAGGGAGCAAGGAGGGCGCGGACAGGCAGGGACGGCTGCGAGAGGAAGCTCAACAGAAAGCCACATCCTAAGTGGCTGGCAGGAAGCCAGGGATGATGGGGAGTGACCCAGGGGACTGGAAACCCGGGAGGGTCAGCGAGGCTGGTTCCAGAAATTGTGCACTGGAAATGACAGTGACTCGCCAAGGTGCAATGTCTCTTGGCAGTTCCAGGTAAAGCGAGGAGGCGAGGTTGGGAGTAGGAATATAAAGCTGGTATCAATAAAGAGGTGACATTCAAAGCCATGAGACTGACGTTCAGACCAATGAAATTTTTTTTTAAAAAAAATCAAAGGTGTAAAATGCTTTCTAGACTATCTTATCAGGCAAGAAAAGGCAGAACCACCCAAGGAAACAAATTAAAAATAAATTAAGAAAACCAGAGGAAAATGTTTCTGAGATTCAGTATCCAATAATAAAAGAAAAGCCACAGTACTTGGCTAAAATGGCATCATTGGTAGCCTACAGGGGGGAGTTTTTCTCCAATTATTGGGTCATAGGTCAAAATATGCATGTTGGAAGAGGCGGGAGGGGGGCAAGTGATAAGCAAAGGAAAATGGCCATAGAGACCAGAGAGAAAAAAGACAGTGTGCTCACAAAGCAGCGGCAGGTCTCCTGGAAGGGTTTTTCAAGGTAAGAAACTGAGTTTGAAGTCAGAGGGAAGAGCCAGGGAAGACAGGGCAAGGTGGGGATGAGCCACTCACGGTTCTGCCTCCCCCGCCTCCTCGCGCCCTGCCAAGCCCCCTTCTCCCACCGCATATCCTCTTCATCAAACATCTGACTTTCTGACCCCTCCCGCTTTGCCTGAGGTCCCCACATTCCGGCTCACTTTGTGCTGTACCCTCGTTTCTAGGAGGAGGTGGGGGAGAGCAAAGCCAGGTGAGTATAGTGTCTTTTCTTAAAAACTCTTTTAATAATAACTTTGACAGTGGATATTCCCACAAAAGAGAAGCGTGCCTGCCCACCCCTGTCTTCAGAGTGAAAGGGCCCAGATGAAAGATGCTGTGAATCTGCGCTTACCGATTGATCTTCCTCTTCTGCTGGGATTTAATCACTGTGCTTTCTTCGTCTCTCTTCTTCAGCACCTGGAAGTTGTAGTGTAACTTTTCTTGGTTTAGCTGATACGTTGCTTTCATTTGCTGAAGTTGTTGCTCGAGAATCTAAAGATTGAAAAAATAATACTAATTGGCCCTGGTAGAATTTGTTACACCTGAAGGTCCCTGATAGTACATTCTGGAGCCATATGGGAGGTAAGTTAAGGACAAGTGTCCCACCTGAATCCTGAGAAGAGCTATCATTAGAGGCAAATTAAAGGGCAGCCAGAAAAGAAACAAATCATTTAGCGGCAAGCTGAAGCTCACATACCTACCACCTAAGGGCGATCTGAGTTGGAGCTTTCAAGTCCAGCTCCCTCTGGTACTGTGCTCCAGGCACTTTTGAGATCGAAGTAGCCCCTCTAGAAATACTGTGAAAGTTAACATTGCCACAAAAGCCTGCGATGTTCCCTCTCCAACCTTCTGGTTGGCAGTGTTAGTGTTTAACAAACTATGTTCGTTTTAAAGGAGGATAGACAGAGCCATCCTTACTTCTGGGGTTTCTGTTATCTATATTCATGCACTCAGCAAATATTTATTGAGTGCCAGATATACAGGGCAGGGTGAAAGTGGGCTTACAGTTGTCCCGATGGAAATGAATACAATAATGAGTAAATAATAATCCAAGGGTAAACTCTGTTTTATTTACTCACAACTGTAAACCTACTCATGCCCCACCCTGTTGGTCAGACACTTAACTGGGTGCTGATGGGAGAGCACTGGTGGACAAGGCGCAGTCCCGCTCTGTCTAGGAGAGCGACAGGTAACAAGCACTGGGGACAGGAAGTAACCAAGGGGCAAGCACAAGGTTTTATGGGGCCAATGAGAGGAGCACTTTCAGGGCCAGGACAGACATCTCTGAAAAGATAGCGTCAGCATGGCTACCTGAGACCCGGAGAAGAGGCAGGAGTCACTCAGGTGGACACCAAGAGGAGAAAGTTCTAGAGAGAGGTGCTTTGGGGAAACCCCAAGCAAGAGATGTCGGAAACGAGGCTGACAGAGCAGCAGGGCCTGACCAAGCTGGAAACTGGGCACTTTACCCTAAAGACAATGGAGGGCCACGGAAGATGTTAGGCAGGAAAGTGGAGTGGCCAGTGCAGACAGTGCAGACAGATCATTCTGAGAGCTGGGAAAAAAGATCAGAGAGGGGCAAAGCTGGAGGCAGACAGGCTGGCCTGGGTCTCCCCTGAGTGGAAACGCAGGAAGGAGGGTGCAATTAAGTGTAATCAGATCTTGATAAAGCAGCCACCTGGGACTGCTCTTTTAAGCTTCCTTCCCATCTGCCTCCAAGAGGCTACAGATCTTTGCCAAGGAATCAGCCCAGGGGAGTGATTACAGGCAGCTATCACTGCCCCCACCCCCGCCCCGCCCGGTGAGTCATCCTCACAGTGAGTAATTGGCCGGAAGGTGTTGCTGAGGAGAATAAAGGCTTCGACGCATTATCAGAGGGTGAGTCATTTCCACCACCGTGGATCCCGTGGAATCCGGTGATTCCCCACATGGTAACCGAAGGATTTAGTCAACGATATCCTATTTAACCTTCCAGGGACTTTATAATCTCCCTGGAGGGACATGGTTTTGAACGTCTCCTTCAGAACAGAAGCCTGCACAATCTATTCTTTAACAGGCAGTCAGTGAAGAACCATATTGGTCACTGGGTTGATAAAAAGCTGTACCTCTCAATTTCTCTACTTGTTTAGTCAAATTTTTATTTACTTTTACTAGTTATATGGTTTTCTTCATAAAAACTTTTTCTGATTGTGAAACTAATATTTGCTCATTGTAGAAAATGCAGAAAGTTCAGTAAGGAAAGAGAAAAAGACATCGGAGAAGGAGGAAGAAAAGCTACCCATAATTCCACTTTCCAAAGTCAGCTCTGTTATCATATTGACGATTCTTTCCAGTGGCCTTTACATAGTTAAGATCAAACTATACCTACAATTTTATATCCTACTTTTCTCCTTTAATATTACAACATAAGAATTTTCCATGTTTGTAGTTTTATTAACATATTTTAATGGGTACATATTTTAATAATGACAATTTATAATATAGGAAGTATGTATGGCATATTCATCATATATAATTTACCATTTCCTTACAGTTGTACCTTTATACTATTTTCATAATTTTCAATATTATAATTCTGAGAACTGTATATAAAACTTTTGTTCTTTGGGTTTTTTTTTAATTTCCCTAAGGTAGATTCTCAGAAGTGAAATTACTAGCTCAAAGGCTCTCAATAAATTGCTTTCCAAAGGGCAACTACAGTTCACACTCCACTGGCCACGTGTGCAAGCGCCGCCCTCCCTCACCAGGCAGCTGCCAGCATTTCCGGGGCAGGCTGCGAGGCCTAAGTGCTGGCTCAGCCTTTGGGCGGGGCGTTTGGGGTGGGGCAGGGAGCTGCACTTGACTCATCCTGAACATGATTAAATTTGATTTCGAAATGTCTAACTTGAGCAGCATCCCCAAGGGGTTACGGAAGGGGCTGACGGTGCAGCCTCCTGTCCAGCGCAATTATCCTGGCTGGTCCCAGCCCAGTAGTTTTCAGCCCTGTACCCCTCTAGGGATGGCCAAGTATCCACTAGGGAAAGAGACTCTGAGCAGCTCTTCCTGCAAGTCGCAATGACTTATGGTCCCATGCTCCAAACGAAACCAGCCTTACTGCGGCTAACACGACCTGGACATAGGGGAGGTCATTGGTCTATGAGGTGGCACAGCACAAAGGCCAACAGAAAATCTCCACGTTGGATTGGTGACAGCCTGAGAGAGTATGAACACTGACAGAGAAGGAGGGTCTCCAGAGCTTTTCTGGATTTGGAAGGACAAGGAGTGGCTGTTCCTGGCTTCCCCCGATCGTTGGGAGCCCTGAGACCCCGAGGCCCTGGGTGTCTCCGCTGAGGGTGTCCCGGGACCTCCTCCTCATGGCTTTGCAGGAAGCCCTTGTGGCTAAGATGGAATTTCCCAAACTTACCTAACCACAGGACAGTTTTTATATTTATAATACAGTGAGAGCATGAGTTATAATGCAAGCTCTATCATGTGAAATGCTATGTAAATTTCATTCTTCAAGGCAAGCTATTACATAACAATAACCGTAAATGGACTCTACTTTTCCTACATAATACATCTTGAAAGGCAAAAATAATTATCATTGGCATCACTTTTTTGGTTAGTTTTGTGGAAGCACCACTAGTAGCTATCTTGCTTAGCTGAAAGAACTTAAATATGCGCTGATTTTCTAGGCAAAAAAGAAAAACAACCTGTCACCTGATTGTTTTAATATATACTGCTTTGCTTGTAGTTGTAAGTGCAGTTGAATATTTATTAGCAATTTTCTTTCCCTTTGCAGACAGGCTTGCCCCTACCCTTTGCCAGAGCATGCTCTTAGAGACTGACGCCTCGGGGCACAGGCAGCGCCCCGGGACACAATCAACACCTGGCGCCTCAAGCCTCACCTTACCACCCTGCCAGACCCCGTGTCAGCCACACCTCCGCCTCAGCTCTGGCCAGATGGCCTCTGGGGGCTCCACATTCATGACGCTAGTTATGAGTTGGTGGTGGTGTTGTCACCGAACTTACAGAACTAATCACAGTCTCGTGCCTCTTGCAGTAGACACTACGGCAGGCGATTACCTGAATTACACTCATTATGTGTTTGCAACGCCTATACTCATCATAATTTTAGTACCGGTGACCCTACTGCTAATTCTCTCAAGTTTTAGTCTCAATATACAGCCATTCTTGATGGTCACACACTGAATATAGTTTTATATTTTAAAATAATGATCGATTTTGTTAAATGTCTCCATTTATTTTTCAGTTATGCAAAGGTATTTTGCAAAGTTATACTTTACGTTCCCAAGACTAATGGCAAAATATCAGGTTTGGTTTTTGTGAATAATTTATAAAGGTTACATTGTAACCAGCTGCGAAGTCCCTCCCTGTTACTGCAGGAGCTGGGACACCTTCCCACCTTCTCCTGGGGCAGTCTGAGCTCCTCCACAGCTGCTCTCACGCCAGGGCCCCACAAAACGAAATTTAAAGCAACCTTTCCCTTTGGCCTTCTCAACTGACTCCAGAGATCCCACCGGCCTCTTCATCACCAATGTCAGTCCTGGGACGGGACCTGGACTCCATCTGGGAGTCACAGTAGACTAACAATTTCAATCTGGCCTGCAAGCTTGCTCTCCCTTTTCTTCATCATGACTCACTCTTCCGCTATTTCTCTCTCTCTCTCTCTCTCTCTCTGTTGCATTGAGAGCAGGGACTGTGCCTTGTTTATCTTTGTGCTTTGCACAATATAAATTCACAGTACTTTGTTAAATAAATAACCCACATTAAATTGTTTTGTGATTAATAGTCTCATTTTAAAGGTAACACCACCAAAAGTTGAACTAAATCATTTTACAAGTTTAAATGAGTACATCAGTCCCTTTAAAAAAAAAAAAATTTACTTCCTGCATCATGAACTAAGTTTTTCTAGCAGTTTTATTTTGGGGTGGCGGGCAGAGGTGGTAAAATCTCTCTGTGTGCATAATGCTTATAGGCTTCTCTTTGCTCATTAATCATGTGACCTTACTGGCAGAAAGCACTTGAAAAGTATACATTCTTTTTTTACTTCTTCTACTTTACCCATCAAACCCAATCTATGTATATTGGACCCTTTATATTTTTTGTAATTTACAAAAATTTCAGTTCTGTATTTCAGAACCGATACAGTGCTACAAATTAGAAAAAGCATATTTGTTGTTGAGTTGCATGCATGCCACATCGGCAATGCTTGGCAAAAATTGTTGCACCTTGACTTTAACGCCCAGTGAAAGTGCAGCTAAGAGGCACTATGATAAAGTCCAATGTAGTAGAATACTGCACACATTGCAGTATGGGAGGTCCCTGACTTGATCACCTTTTCCCAGTTAAAGCGTACAATGCAATACAGCGCACTCCGGGTTTCCTTTCTTACACAGGAACAAGCTGGTTTGCAGAGGGACCGCATGCGCTTCCCCGCTCTGAGCCTCCATCCTCCCGCCTCCCTCATACCCACCCTGTACCGCTAGTCCCTCCCGGCAGGGGAGCCGGGACAGCCAGGCATCCTGGGCTCGCTGCTCTCCGCCCCTCACCTCCAAATCCACGTAATCTCCCATGTCTCAGAATTTTTTTGGATTTGCTCAAGCATTTGAAAATTAGATTAAAAACATGAGGTTCCACTCCTATAACTCAAGAGCAAAAAAATAAGTTACCTGAATAGAAAATGGGCAAAGGACCTGAATAGGCATTTCTCAGTGAAGACATACATATGGCCAACAGCTATGTGAAACCATGTTCGACATCATAATCATGAGGGAAATAAAAATGAAGACTACAATGAGATACCACCTCATACTGGTAGGATGACTATTATCGAAAACCAAAGGACACAAGTCTTGGCAATGATATGGAGAAAAGAGAACCCTCATATGCTGTTGGTAAGAATGCAGACAGGTGCAGCCACTGTGGGAGCAATATGGAGGCTCCTCAAAAAAATTAAAAACAGAATTATCATTTGATCCGGTATCCCCAGTTCTGGCTATGTATCCAAAGGAATTGAAACCTGGATAGTGGAAAGATATCTGCGCTCCCATGTTCCCTGCAGCATTATTCACAGTAGCCAATATGCAGAAACAACCTAAATGTCCAGCAAGGAACTAATGGATAAAGAAATGCGGTGCTACATACAATGGAATATTACTCAGTCTCTAAAGAGAAGGAAATTCTGCTATTTGCAATAACATGGATGGACCTGGAGGATGTTATGCTAAGCGAAATAAGCCAGACACAGAAACACAGACACACATGTGGGATCTAAAATAGTCAAACTCATAAAAGTAGAGACTTGGATTTGCTACCGAGGCTGCCAGGGGTGGGGGCGGGGAGGGGTAATGGGGAGGTGTTGGTCAAAGGGTACAAAGCTTCGGTTACACAGGGTAAGTCTGGAGACTTCCTGTATGACAGAGGGCCTACGATTATCCGTGCCACACTGTATGCTTAAAATTTTGCTAAGAGGGTAGATTTTATATCACGGGCTCTTACCACAAAAGAAAAACAAAGCAACAAAAAAAAGAACACAGAGTTCCCTCATTTCACTGTGGCAAACAGGGTGTAGTCTTGTTGCATAAATTATCACAGAACCAAGATAACTTCAGAAAGCTTAACAATAGGCATTTTCATTAAAAGTGTGATGTATGCAGCCCACACAAGTAGCTCCGCTCTGTTACAGACTCTACTGTTCTTTGTCAGTAATTCTCATTTCCATGACATTAATATGAGAAAGGCCGAGGAAAATTCTCAAGACTGGTAAAAATATTTGTAGTCTAATGGGGTTTTTAATTTAACCTCCTGATATAAAAGGAAAAGAGGAGTGACAACTAAAATTCTACCAAAGGCTATGTGGAAAAACTTTAATTTAACATGCTTTTCTAGATAGAGACTGAAATGAATAGACCAAGCTTGAATATTAAGATGCAACTGTATTACATTTAAATGTAATTGCAGATGTACTTTGATGTTGAAGCACAGAACCCTAGACTTGGGAAGGACTTTAGAAACTAGAAAGTCTAACCTCCTTCCCCCTGTAGAATCCTGCAGCATGAAGCAGACACGGTCATTCAGCCTTTGAATACTCGATGTGATAAAAGACTCCGTGATTTGAGGGATTATCTTTTCTATATTGGATAGTTCTAACTATTAGAAGTCTTTCTAATGGTGAGTCAGAATCTGCTCTACGGTGATGTCCCAACCATCAGTCAGGGGGCTGTTTGGAATAATGGCAAAGATACAGGCGATAGAGCCTTGCAGAACTGGGTGTGAATCCAGGGTATACCATTTACTGGATAAGTAGCCATCTCTCTGAACCTCAGTTTGCTGGCCCAGAAAATGCTGCTAGTGCGGATTAGAGGAGCTGGGCATGAAGGGCCTGGAATATGGCAGACACTCACTGGACGGTGACCGCCCTGCTTTTGGCCCTCTGACACTGCTAACTTGCCCCAGGGACAGTCTCCTTTTACATGGCTAATATGCACAATTCTCTCAACAATTCCTCCAGCGTGTCCTGGTTTCCAGATCCCTTTAGGCATCTTGGCAGTTCTCCCCTAGTTGACTGAAGAAAGCATCCCTCCACGGGTACCTGGTCCTTCAGATATGGCCATTTAAAAGAAAGCAGGCCATCAATAACTCTTTGTTGAATGGACCAGCTCCAGAATATTATCGGTGGAGGATGAACCATGCACAGCTGCTCTCCGTCAGCGCGGGCTCGGGGACAAGCCGTACCTGTATATCCTGCTCCAGCTTGATCTTAACCGTGTTGTACTCTTCAAAATCCCATATCCTCTGCTTGCTCAGCTGCTTCTCGTAGTCCTCCGCTTTCTTGAGGCGGTTCGTAAGATACTCCAGCTGAAGGCACAGGAAGACGGGGGACGTCAGGCCCTGTCCCTGTCCCGTCTCACTCCTTCAGGTGGCCTGACCTGGGTGACACAGGAAACGGTCTGAAAACGTCATGACTCTCAAGGGAGTCTGTCAGCCCTAAGAAGCCTCTGTGTCCCAAGGCTTTGCATTGTTTAACAGGGTCTTTGCTCCAGAAAGTCCAAGGGGAACGCTCCGTTGGGACACTAAGCAAAGGGGATGTAAAGTCCAGCACAGGCAATAGAGTCAGGAAGCTTATATGGGGCTGGGGGCACTAGACTTGCTGGGGTGATCACTTCGTAAGTTATAGACATGTCTAATCATTATGTTGGACCCCTGAAACTAATAACATTGTATGTCAACTGTAATTGAAACATAAATGAAAAAAAAAAATTAAGCACAGACCCTGCAGTCAGATATTTGTATTTCAAAAAAAAAAAAAAATCCCTTGAGTCTTGGTTGTTCTTTCTTTGTTCTTTATGTCTCTGAAATAAAGGGATAACCCCACACCCTTTTAAATATCTTACAGCACTTTCTCGGGCCACGAGTGCCTGTAGCTGCGGTGGGTGCCCAGGAAACAAAGAAGGTGGCAGGCCCATGGAAGCCACAGTGAGCTGCGCAGGTGGCCCTCACCGCGACTGGGTGGCTGCCGTCTGCAGGGCCTCCTGATGAACTGCGCAGAGCAGCTCTGAACGTCTGCCAGGGCAACCCCCACCCCTCCCCCAAGACACAAAAAAAGGGCTCAGTCACAGACTCCACGATCAATCACTCTCGCCACACACACCCCACCCCCCACCTCTTTGACGTTGTGAGCCTGCAGCGCCCGCTCCCATTTCTTCTTATTGCTGGTCAGGAGCTCCTGCCGCTCCACCTCGAACGCTTTCTATGAGCAAGAAGGAAAAGGGCTCTTGTGTCTGTTTGATTAGTCAGGTCCCGCAGCATCAAAGGACCCAAAGCTAACAGCCCAGGGCCATGTCACCAACCACACCACGTCAAATCCAAAGGAAGACCTGCCAAGTAACCAAACGGCTGTGGAAGGAGCTGCCTGGAAATCAGTGTTGTGGAGTGCAGACTTCTCACAAGGTTATAGAGGAAACACGCCCCCTGTCCTGTGGCTCAGTCAGTACCCACGGCCGGCCGGGAGCTGGAGGAAAGCCAATGCCCTTGGCGGCAGTCACAGGGCAAACCCTGGCATGCAATTCAGCCACGGCGAGGCTCGGTGCATTGACTGGTGTGGGTGAGGCGCCCATGAAGCTAAGGCGGCACGGAGCTCACGAGGGGCAGGCCTGCCATGCAAAGGAGTCCATAATAACCCAAGAGAGAGGTGCCCCTCCTCCTGGCTCTCTTTCACTTTGGAAAGATCTAAGTCTCAATTTCAATTTGATATTTCATTCAGATTCAAAGTACTGCTTCCTGAATCTTGCTCTGCGGTCCCCTTTCCCATCCCCCATCCCTGACTAGCATAAATAAATCAGATAAATGGTGGGTATGCAGCACTAATCTCCCTCTTCCACCCCTCTTACTCTTATCCAGTTTTATTTTCTTTCAAAGCACCTGTCAGATTGTATATTCAGCAATTTATCTGTGTTGTCTCCACTAGAATGCAGGCTTCATCGAGGACTCTGTTTTGCTCATGGCTGTACCCGCAGTCTCCAGGTACAATGCCTGGCCATAGTAGGCACTTGATGAATATTTTTTGAATGAATAAATAAACTAATGAAACCCCAGAGTGGAGACAGAAAGCCGAGGACCAACACATGTGGGACCCTCCTTAGGTGGTTAGGACCGACCCAGCCCACCTCCCAGGCCCAAAGCAGGTCTTTCAGACCGTTACCTCGATGTGATTGAGCTCCTCACGGAAGCTTTTCATGACACTCTTCACTTGTTCCTCCATCCTCTCCAGCAGCAGGCAGATGTCATCTGACTGTTTCTTCAAATCCTTCACATACTGGTCATCTTTGATTTTTAACTCCTAGAAAAGAGCGTGTCGAAGGTTGGTCACACACTGAGACAGGAGCACCCACCACCCAGACCCGTCATGAGCATCTGTGACCGCTAGGAATTACATGGCGCAAGGAGGAGGCGGCTTCAGGAGCGTGGGAGAAGGCCCAGGAGAAAGCGCGGGCCGTGGCCGGGAGGCACAGCATTCTGGGGCCTGAAGGAAGGCCTCCGCAGTTTTCCATTCAGGAAAGCAGACCAATCACCCACTTAAAGCCCCCAGCCAGATCCCACCTGGCTGGGGTTGAACGACCCCCGGCCTCTTGCCTGCTGTAACTCGTTGATAAGCTTGTTCTTATCTTCTATCAGCCCAGCACAGTGCTCCTGCTGGGCGTTGAGCATTTCCCACAGTTCCTGGGGAATTCTCTTCTGTTTGCCCTCTTCCCACTTGGCAGTGATTTCATCAAATTTGTCCTGGCTGGTCTTGACTTCGTTCTCCAGTTTTTCAAGCCTGCATATACAAACGTGCGGTCCACACCAGCTCAGTTCCGATGCTGCCTTCCAGCGGAGCAGGCAGGTCCCCGGAGTCTGTCTTACAGGGCCCGGGTACCAAGCGCTGCCACCGCATACACCACCCAAAACCACACCAGACTCCGAGAAATCTTCTTTCAGTTTAATGCTTGACTATAAAGTAACTGAGGGCAAACAAACAAAGTGGCACATAACATACAGGTCAACAGTAAAGCTACACACAACACACACACAAATCGAGAGTCCATTGGTCACATGCTCCTGAGTAAGATGGTGACACACAATAGTTAAATACTTGGTCACTGGAGTTACATAGCTCATGTTCAAGTTCTGACTTTGCTACTAACTGATTCTCAACTTTAGACAAGTTGTTGGGTTGGCCAAAAAGCTCATTTACTTTTTTTTCCGTACAATGGCTCTAGTGTGCTTAGTTGTCTTTAACTTCATGCAAAACAATTTTGTTAGATTGTATTGTGACAACTGTCATATCAGTGTGCATTTAAAAAAAATCAAAATTCATGAATTTTTGTGCAGCCATTTTAATATCAAAGACAGAAGAAGATACGAAACATTTTTGGTGTATTATGCTTTATTATTTCAAGAAATGTGAAAATGCAACTGAAATGCAAAAAAAAGATTTGTGCAGTGTATGGAGAAGGAGCTGTGACTGATCGAATGTGTCAAAGGTGGTTTGCAAAGTTTCTTGGTACTATTACCATTTTGGCCAATAATTATTTACCGTAGGGCTGTCTTAATGTACTGGAAGATGTTAAGCAGCACCCCTGGCCTCTACCCACTAGAAGCCAATAGCAGGAGACAGGTGACATACTGAAAATATCCAAATCAATCAAGTTACTGGTGAAAATGAAAAATGTGTCCTATATTTTACGGAAAAAACTAACCGGACTTTTTGGCCAACCCATCCTCACGAGCCCCACTTTTCTCACCCATGAAGTGGAGAGCATGAAAGCACCTGCTGTCACATGGCTGTCATCGGGGTTAAATGAGGTGCTGCTCAGCACTATAGTCACTTAACAAATGCTCTTCTTATGGTTAACTATCATTATCAACAGGACCTCAAGAGTCTGGCCATCCCTGGCCCACGGTATCAGCAAATGTCCATGGTAATGTACAGAGAGGGAAACTCCGCCATTAGCAATAGAAAATATGGGTAGTGTTTTAAGAAATTCCAAAGAAACTATGAGATGGAGAATACCAAAGGCAGGTCTGGATTGAGGGGCCACAGGTCTGAGGACAGAGGTAGGGCATACTCCTGAGATGCTGTCCTGACTCTAACAGACAACACTTCCATGAGACTGTCTCCAAACAAGCATGCAAACCCCCTTAAGGACAGCAATCGCAACTTAGTCATCTTGTGATCCCCTTTCCTTCGCTCCTTCCAAGCTAGGCCACATAGTGCCTATTATATTTCAACTGAATTTCTTCCTCAAAAAATGAGAAACAGCCATGAGGTCACCTTTCTAAAATCCACATTTGTCTTGTAACTCCAGCCTTAAAGCCTTCCGTTTGTCCTCAGCAGCAGCGGGACAAAGCCCGGCTCCTTGGCCTGGCACTCCGGGCCTGTCTCAGGCTGCCTGCTGGGGACCAGGCTGTTTAGTTCCTGGTAGAGCCCACGCTCATCAGTAGGAAGTTTCTAGAATAAAGTTGCCAATTATATACTAATGAAGGTGGTAAAGTTGCCGATAGGGGAGCTACTTACATTTAACAACTAAAAATATTGTTGATAAACTTGTACTGTGTACGTATATGCTAAGATGGACTACAATGGTCAAGACGGTTGCTCTTCTGATTGAACTGTAGCCTGTTGGGCAACCTGAGGCTGGGGTCGGAGCTGCGGGCCTGCCAGGGGCTTCCGTGATCCCTCTGACCCTCTGCGCTTCCAACGTGGAGTCTTTCCTGTTCTTTAATACCTGCTACATTGTACATAACACTGAGATGTTTACCGGTCTGGACATTCTCATTAACTTGAACCCAGGACAACCGAACTGACCTTCTTAGCCTCACCTCTTTTCATCCCCCACCCCCCTGCCCACATGTCCTTCCCTATCGTGCAGTTTCCAGCCCTATCATGTGATCTGTGCATTTGCACAAGCCGTTCCCTCTGCCTAAAATGCCCACTCCTCAAATTCCTATCCATCCTTCACAGCCCAACTCAAATGTCACTTTGCCTGGAGAGTTTCCTCTATAATCTCTCCAGAGAGAATTAAGACCTCCTCATATACGTTTCCACAACTCTTTACATATAACCTTCATTTTAACACAAGTCGCAGCTGGATGCTTCCATGTCTATCCTGACAAGACTGGGAACATCAAGGCCAGAGGCCTTGTTCACTCCTTGTTGTATCCACACAGCTTGGCGCATTATTTGGAACGTGATACTTATGAAAGGGAGGGAAGGAAAGAAGGAGGAAGGGAGAATTTGTAAGGGGGCAAGAAGGAGATTTTACTAGACTAAGTTTGACAAAGCCACTTTCCAATGACTGGAGAGAACTTAGGGACGCACAGAGGAGATACCTGCACAGCCACCAGGCTTCAGAGCAGGGGGCCCCTCACCTCTGACGCTTTATCTCCTCTTCTTCAGCTCTCCTGTGGGTCTCTCTGATATCCGTAGCCACCTGGATATTTGTCACCAATTCAGTGCCACAGAGCAGCAGTTTAGCCAATTTCTGAGAACAAAGAATTTACAATGTTAGAACACTTTAGAATGAGTTTATATATTTCTAAAATGTATAAACTGTTTATAAGGAATTATGACTTTAAAAAAATTTATAAAGTTAGAAACACTTGGCACAACCCCTGGTAATTCTTCTATCCACCCAAGCATGAATCAAAAGCTATCTTAAGACTTTTCTTTTTTTGTTTTTCTTCTTTTGTTTCTCTCTTTTTTTAAGGATTTTATTTAGTTATTTTCAGAGAGGCTGAAAGAGAGGAAGAGAGGTAGAGAAGCATCAATGTCTGAGAGAAACATCGATGGGTTGCCTCTCACACACCCCAGCCGGGGACTGGTATGTGCCCTGATTGGGAATCAAACTGGCAACATTTTGGTTTGCAGGCTAGTGCTCAATCCACTGAGCCACACCAGCCTGGGTTTCTTTCCTTTTTTAAATTCTCTCTCTCTCTCTTTTTACCTTAAGACTTTTAAGAATAGCCCCTATGTAGCAGCCCATTTCCATCAGGACATTTGTGTTACGTTGTTATAGCCTACAATTTAATAACACTCCGCAATTCCGGACGGACTTTAGCTTCTTCTCAGAGCAGGGTCCAGCCAGCCAGTGAGCTGGCATGCACTCTAGGCGCGTGCTTCCCCCAGGAGACCTCCAAGTGGCTGACACTGCCAGGACCCTTTCTAAGACTCTCAGCTGGGGAGGTGAGGCAGACAGTTACAGTTGTCCCTTCATATCCATTTTCCCCTCTTCGTCTAGTAATCGAACACTCAAATTTTAGCTGAGTATTTGCTCTCCCAAAACAGATACATCCCCCAAACTCCCTTGCAGCTAGAGTGGGCTGATCGATGGCACATAAGCAGAGCAGGTATGTGTCACTTCTGAATTGTGCCTTGAAGGGAAAACGTGTACCTTCTGTGGACTCCCCATCCCCCTTCTCCCAGGCTGGAATGTGGTGCTAAAGCACAACATGAGGGGGGATAGATTATTGACCAAAATGTAAACAGTGGAACAGCTTTATTCTTCCAGTAAAAGAAACGTGGAAGAGTATCTTCATAAAGTTGGAAGAGATGAAGGTTACACAGGTAAAAAAAGAATTACCCCTAAAAATGATTGGTAAGGTGCACAGCCAGGGCAGGAGACCCAGCTGCTCAGGGCTTAGGGCAGAGCTGGTTATTAATATCTCGACCCTAAGGAAGGTAGCACTTTCTGTGTACGTTTCTTCTTGATGCCAAGGCATTTCAGACTTCCGTCCTAAGTGATAGGAACCTTGAAAAGCTGCTAACGACAACAATATTACCCTTTGGTTTTACATTACACTCAAAGAGCGCTCAGGATAATGTGCATATCAGTATTTTCAAGAACATGTATTAACTATAACAGTATTTTCAAGATTATATATAAATTCTTTTTATCCTACACAGAAGTGCTCAGAGATCACTGACCCCATTAAATGAAGAAACCTAGAGACCTGGCAGGGTAGCTAAGTTGGTTAGAGTATCATTCTGATAGACCAAGGTTGTAGGTTCAATCCCTGGTCAGGGCACATACAAGAATCAACCAATGAATGCATAAATAAGTGAAGCAGCAAATCTCTCTCTCTCTCTCCCCACACACACACACACACACACACACACACACACACACGTGGGTATATAATATATAATATTATATATAATATATTCTACATAATCTCTCTATATAAAAGAATATTATATACAGAGGGAGGATTATATATAGTCTAGAGAGAGAGAAAGGATATATATATATATATATATCCCGTCCTCTTCCTCTCTCAAATCAAGAAAGAAAGAAAGAAACAAGCTTTTGTACAAAGAGTTGACGTGACTCCTATACGTCACAATAAGCACCAGATGCGGACCGAGAAACCACAGCAGCTCAATATTCTTTCCATTACAGTAAAATATTTGTCCTTGACAGAGTACAGTATAGGTTATTCAATTATCTTGCTATATATTTATTCTCTATAATAATATGTCCGTAGCTTGAAAATTTCTCCACCCAGTATTTATACTTTACTTTCTGCCAGATGAGTTCTTTCTCCTACCCACTTTTATAAATCCCCCCTATTTTTCTAAGACCCAGCTCAAATCACACTTCCTCTGCATGACCTTCCCTGATCAAGCCCACTTAGTGAGCAATTTTTTGTATCTCCGTTCCTGCAGTATCGCTGTCTACACACTTCATTTTGCAAGTAACTAAATGCAGCCCTTTGCTAGGTCTGGCTCACTGTTTTGAATGGGCATTTTTATTCCTCCAGTGCCTCTTGTCCCAAGTCTTTTATTAAATATCCCAGGAGCCATGTCATTGTCATGGGAGAGCAATGGATGGTTTTCTTTTTAGTGTTTGTTGAGTACAACCTACTACTCCACAGGGACTCAGAGAGGCTCTCCTTCTCATAGAGCTCACAATTTCATTGGGGACACTGCATGCCCACACAGTCATACAAGGCAGAAAACTATCCAAAATAAAATGAATTCTATAGACAAGAAGTGGTCAATGTGTGTAAAGGAGCTCAGCCTGGGACGTGGAGGAACTCATGCGAGGGTTGGGACATAGAAGGTCTTAAAGTACAGGAAGGTAACCTGAAGACGGGGGGGAGGGGGGGAGAAAAAAAGAGAGGAGGGAAGAAGAGGAGAGGAGAGAAGCTTGGCATTCCAGAAAGTCAAAGGCACTGAGCAGAAAGAACAAAGCCATTGGAGGTGAGCAAGTGAATCAGCTTGGCCAAAGTGGAAGGCCCAAATTAAGTAGCGATGGGAGAGAAGATTAGAAAGTTAAGGTGGGAACAGGTTCAAAAATGTCTTGAATGTCAGGCTACATTATTTGGACTGTATCCTATGAATAGTGAATGTCATTAAAAGTGTTTGAGCAAAGGAAAGACAGCATCAGTACAGGAGACTATAATATGAAAGCCCATTCCTACAGAGCTCCCAAAATAGGGAAGACTCAAATTCACTTCTGCCTAGAGACAGGAAACAGAATCTCTATTGAGATTTCATCTCTACTGAGTTTCTCGTAGTCTAAATACAAAAACCGTGGCATCACACCCAGCTCTCCAGTCTCCCCGGACCGTCCAGGCCCACTTGCTACTCAGTTCATACCAGTCTGCTTTCTTCCTTCTGTTTATAGCTCTTGCTTTGATCTTCCTCACTCTCCTTCTTCCCATCTAAATATTCTCCAAGCACTTCCCTGTGATGGCAAAGAATAGAGAAACTGAAGTTATTTCTAGTTATTTCTGAAATTCTATATTTAAAGTTTCCATGGGACTTCATACCATATACAAAAATACACTCTATATGATTAAAAATCTAAATATTAAAATAAACACAATCATAAAACACTAGAAATAGAGGAAAGAGAATAAGACCAAAGTTAAAGAAAAAGTTGAAAGATTTTACTTCCTAAAATTTTTTAATTTTATCCTTAAAAGTCAAGACATAAACTGGTAAAAAAAAAAATTGACAAAATTTTGCTCTCTATTAAATAGAAAAGCCTCCTTCAAATCAATACCCCCCAAAAGACAAAACACCAAATAAAAAAAATTTGGAAAGAATGTGAACACGCAATTCATAGGAGAAATACAAATGGCAAATAGACATTGGAAAATATGTTCCACTTCTCATATAGCCAGGGAAATGAAACTGAAAACTCTGTGATGTATCATTACTCTCGTATTAGACTAGAAAAGATTTTAAAGGTTGACAGTAATGCATACTCACACTCACAAGGCAATGTTAATTCTCCTGATCATTGTCAAAATATAGTCTGAATAGATCACGACCACCTGTATGTCCCACAGAACATCATATTTATCCTTCACATCAGGGTTGGCAAACTGGCTGGAGGGACAATGTGACCCACTTATTTTGTATGGCTCACAAGTGAAGAATAATTTCTACATTTTTACAATTTTTTTTTTTAAAGATGAGGGTGAAGAGACAGAGGACAGAGGACTTTTAGGGCAGAGAAACCACTCCGCACATGTGGTGCGTACATGTCATTATATGGTTGTCAAAATCCACAGAATATCAAGAGTTAACCACAATGTAAACTATGGACTTTGGCTGACAAGAATGAGTCAATGAGGTTCATCAGTCAATGAGGTAACACCTGTACCACTCTGGTGGGGGATGTTGACAATGGGAGAGTTTATGCATGTGCAGAGGCAGGAGGTACAAAATGTATGGGGAAACGCCATACTTTCCACTTGATTTTTCTGCAAACCTAACACTGCTCCAAAAGAAATGGAAGTTCTTTAATTTATGGAAAAAAGATCAAAATATGAAGAAAGTTTTGTGATACAAACATGACATGAAATTCACATCTCAGTGTCCATAACTAAAGTTTTGGTGGAACACAGACGCACCGCTTAGGCCCTTGCGTCCAGTGGCCAGCAGACAAGAAGGGAAGCCACCGTCTTGCGGGGGCAGCTGACCCTAGCCTGCAGGACGTGGCACAACGCTGTTGCACAGCGAGGGCGTTCAGTAATTCCGGGAGTCACGCAGGTGCCCCCGGGTGGCCCTTGATGACAGTCCATTGTGTCTGTGAATGGCCAGGTGCAGCCACCCCGAAAGGAACAAGGTTATCAGCCTCAGATACTTCGGGATTGAGGGTGTGCGCCACACCAGCAGATAAGCCACCGAGACCAGCGGAAGAGGTAGCTGAGGTCCACTGGATAAATACTTGTGGAAGGCAGGCAGGCTGGGCGGGAAGGACATAGAGATCTCTTACGGACAGGTCATGCGTCACCCGCATTACAGCGTCTTGCTCACAGTGCCCAGTGCACCTGGCTCCCAGTGAAAGTGTTGAAGGGATTATTACTTTTGTCATTGACTTCACTAGTGTGTTGAATGTTTTAACATCCCATTGAACCTTTTAGAAGAAATGTTTTCTATCTCGTCAAGAAACAAGTGCGAGAGCACCTGGGGCACTCCGGCCGCTCACTGCAGGGGCTCCTGCCCCGGCAGCCGCCCCCTCGGCCCCCGCACTGCAGCCCGGACACCCCGGGCGCTCCGCTCACCGTTTCCGGGCCTCCAGGCGCGCTGCAATGCGGAGGCGCCGGGCTTGGATCCGCTCCTGAAGGTTATCGGAATGGATCGAGGGCCCGAGAATCTCAGTGGTTAAGTGTTCCTCCTCCTTGTCCTCCAGGACCCCCAGGGGTCCCGGCGGATTCATGGCGGGCTCCTTCTGCGGGCAGCTCCACTCGGACCCCCGTCTGACAGCAGCACGGTTGCCGACAACAAGCTGTTGCCCGGGGAAAGCAGTCACCTGTCCTGCCGCTGGGGCGCATGCGCACGCAGCTCAGGCCCCGCCCACCATCGTTCAGAACGCGGCGTCCCAGTTTGGAGCTTTATTCTTCTCTCCTGCAGGTAGGATGTGCTATCTGGAGCCCCCACAAGGGCCCCGTCACGTCAGACTGAAAATCTAAAGGGCTGGACCAAGTTGTGGTTCATCGCTTACTGACACTGATGACTAATACATCATTTATTTATCATCGAATGGGTATTCCTCAAAATCATATTCATCAAAGATCATTGAGCGCCTCACTGCCAAGCACCGTGCTAAGGGTAACAGGCATTGTCCTTTCCTCACAGAGGGTACAGAATAGGACCGCTGTGAGCTGACGGCCCCTTTGGGAAGTTCGAACTAAAGTACACTGCACCCACCTATTTATCATCCATTCATTTTTGAGCGCCTACGTTGTGCATGGGTTCCTCCTCTCCTCTAGAATGTGAAATGCCATGCTATCAATATTTTTTTACCCAGCGAGGGATTATCGTCTTCCATAGCCATTTTCAGTAGGACTACAATCTAGGACAATCCCACCAGCACCACCTTACAGAAGGAGGGAAGGGAGAGCAGAGGGAAAGAGTCCTAGGGGGTGGAAAGCAAGCAATAAGTTAGGGTACAGAAGCACAATTAAACTCTCAAGGAAGCACTGTCCCTTGAAAAAGCAATATTTCGGGGGCGGGGGGGGTTTCTGTGTATGTCAACAAAATAGTGTTCTGAGAATTAAAATGCTTTAAAAACAAACTGTAACATTTGACAGAGCACTGGAGTAGTGAGAAAATGCTGGTGCTATTCCTAGACCTGCCCTGCAACCTTGGATAAGTCACAGCTACTTGAGGACCATTTTTCTCAACTGCTATATGGCGCTGTCTGCCTTCTCAATTCACGGGCGATTGTGAGGCCAAAGGCAAGCCCTTTATGAGGCCAATGGAGTTTGGGAGGTTTTCTTAAAAACTAATTCTTCCAAGTGTGCGTTGTAGCGAGATTTAGGAGTGCCAAAATCTTGGAACAGCTGAGTCTTAACGGCTCTGCCTGGATCCTTGTCCCATGTCTGGGGGTGAGGGGTGAGATGGGGGAGGGGAGAGGAGTTTGCTTGCTTTTGGACTTCAGGGCCCTCTGCCAAACTTCTCTCCCCTTGGGTTATAGCTTCAAGTGTTAAACTTCTCTAGAGACCTGGGAATCAGAGATAATGTTTCAACCATGAATTCTGCCAGATCCTGGCCCATTCTCTATCCATGAAAAGAGAAACAAGCATGAGCATGTCTACATCTGGGAGTAGGCTGCCATGAGAAAATCAGTGGGAATGAGCTCTCACACAAGAGAGAGTTACCATAAACACCCATGAAGACTGACCAATAACATCATACTTGGCCCTGAAGCCGTCTTCAGATACCATCATTCCAGACAGATAAGGAAACTGATTCCCTTTTTTGCTGATTGCTGGCAGCTTTTAAGCCTCATTCTTCTTTCCCTCTGCTCCACATCTGGGCAGCTGATTAAAAAACAAAAAAAACCTATGTGTTCTCTCCTTCGGTGCTGGCAGGAGCTTCCAGGGTGAGCTGGGTACTCTCATTCTAGCGCCCACCCCTAACCACACTAAAGCCCCAAACTAGTCTCCTTTCCTGGCTTTCTCCAGCCACCTTGCAACCAGCTCGAAGGTGGTCGTCCTTGCTTGGTCACAGATGCGTTCAATTATGTAATAAACTTTTTCACACAGGCGTGGGGAAAAAGCCAACACATTCACTGCTGGAAAGGCACATTTAAATTTTAGGATAGCTTGCCAATATCTGTGAATAGTTTGAATAGTTTTAATATATTCATTGATTAGGCAATTCTACTAAAGAGAATTATCCTAGAAAGACTGAGTCTAGGCTACAGCTCTGTGGGGTTGAAATCATGTCAGTGTCATAAAGCGCCTAGCACAATGTCTGCCATGCAGTGAGTGCTCTACAAATATTTTTCAAATGAAAGAAATGTACACAGTTAAATCTGTATGCTCACTGCAGTTATTTGTAATATTAAAACTGGATATAACCCAAAATCCATCAATAGAGGAACTGATTAAGCCTTCATGGCATGACAAACAATGCAGCCACTAGAAATGAATAACCTAGACAGGCATCCAAGATATATTAAGGAGGGAGGAAGGGAACACAGCACAGTATGCAGAGGACGATCCCAGTCTTATCTGTAATTAAGGTGGTATGTGCACAAGAAAAATGAGGAAAGGACACAATGCAGTTTGTATCTCTGTGGGCTAGGTCTATGATTTTTAAAAAAAATATTTTACAAAGAACACAAATCACTTTTGATGTAATAAAAATGAAGTTTATTCATTTATTATTTTTTTTAAAGTGGTGACAGGAGATCCTGAAGAGACTGCAGGAGGCAGAAGTAGGGGGGTGAGAGGTTTGGTGGGGAGGGATGTAGGTGGCGTCCACCTCGACAAGTCACTAGCCTCTGCAGTCTGGTCCTCAACTGGTGGCCAATATTCCAAAAGCAGACTTGCCTTCGGGAACTGACTTACGCTAGTAATCCCGCAAAAGGAAAACATATAGAGAATACACTAAATTAGTTTGAACAAGAAACTACAACTAAAACTCAGAGCACATGTGTGTTTATGACTTTGATGAGCACATCTCTGTGGCTGATCTACAAAGGGAAACAAACTGTAATTAGGAAGTTTCTTGATGATGCACAATTGGCTATAATAAACTCAGGGGCCAGCATGGGTATGACTTGCCGCAAAGACTAAACAGGTTGAGTCTTGGGGCATGGCACTCCCATCTCTGGCTAAGTTTGGGTGATAAAGGCAAACCTTCTGGCTCTATGGGCTTCCTCTGCTGTGCCACAGGCTGGCCATCCACCTTCATCTGGTAGTCTTTTCCCAGATAAAAGAATGACCAGTTGATTAGGTTCTTGCATACTGAGTTGAGTCCCACACTACATTCTACATCCATAAGTTTACATGTCACCCTAATTGGGGTTTGGGGATTCATCATTTACATAATTTTTAAAATTTTATTGATAATGCTATTACAGTTGACCCAATTTTTCCCTTTGCCACCCTCCACCCATCACCTCCATTAGGCAATCCCCACACCATACAGTTCATGTCCACGGGGCATGTGTACAAGTTATGGACTGTCCCATTCACTATACTGTACTTTACATCCCCATGGCTATTCTGTAATTACCTATTTGAACTTCTTAATCCCTTCACCTCTTCACCCATTCCCCCACACCTTCCACCTGCAACCTAGCAACCATCAAAACACTCTCCGTATCCATGATTTGTTTGTTCTTCTTTGCTTAAGTTTATTTTTTTATATTCAATTGTGACATGTATTTATTGCCATTTTATTGTTCATATTTTTCATCTTCTTTTTCTTAAATAAGTCTCTTTAACTTTCATATAATGGTTTGGTTATGATGAACTCCCTTCATTTTTTTCTTGTCTGGGAAGATCTGTATCAGCCCTTTGATTCTAAGTGGTACCTTTGCCGGGTAGAGCAATCTTGGCTGTAGGTCCCTGCGTTTCATGACTTTGAACATTTCTGGCCAATCCCTTCAAGCTTGCATATTTTCTTTTGTGAAGTCAGCTGACAGACTTAATGGACCTCCCTGGTAGGTAACTATTTTTCTCTTGCTGCTTTTAAGATTCTCTCTTTATCTTTAACCTTAGGAATTTTTAAAAAATACTTTATTTACTTATTTTTAGAGAGGGAAAGGGAGAAAGGGAAAGAAACATCAATGTATGAGAGATATCTAGACCAGTTGCCCATCGCATACCCCCAACTGGGGACCTGGCCTGCAACCAAGGCATGTGCCCAGACTGGGAATTGAACTGGTGACCTTTTGGTTTGCGGGCCAGCACTCAACCCACCAAGCCATACCAGCCAGGGCAAACTTTGGCATTTTAATTATGATGTGTCTTGGAGTGGGCTCCTTCTTATCCATCTTCTTTAGGACTCTCTGTGCTTCCTGGACTTGCACTTGCATGTCTATTTCCTTCACCAATTTAGAGAAGTTTTCTTTCATTTTTTAAAATATAGATTTCCAATTTCTTGCTCTTTCTCCTCTCCTTCTGTCACCCCTATGATATATATGCTGGAATGCTTGAAGTTGTCCCTAAAGATGTTTACACTATCCTCATATTTTTGGATTATTTTTTCTACTTGTTCTGATTGGTTTTTTCCTTCACTGTGTTTCAACTCATTGATTTGATTGTTTCATCCACTCTACTGTTGTTTCTCCATAAATTGTTCTTTATTTCAATTAGTGTATCCTTTGTTTCAGACTGGATCTTTTTTATGCTGTTGAGGTCCTCACTAAGCTCCTTGAGCATCTTTATAACCAGTTTTGAACTCTGCATCTGATAGATTGCTTATCTCCATTTTGTTTAGTTCTTTTTCTGGAGTTTTGATCTGTTCTTTCATTTGGACCATGGTTCTTTATATCCTCATTTCAGCAGCCTCCCTGTGTTTGCTTCTATGTAGTAGGTAGAGCTGTTATGACGCCTCATCTTGGTAGTGTTGCCTAATATAGCATGTTCCCTGTAGGGTCCAGTGGCACAGCCTCCCCTATCACCCAAGCTGGGTACTCAAGGTGTGCCCTTCGTGTTGGCTGAGCACACCCTCCTCTTGTAGTTGAGCCTTGATTGATGTTGGCAGGTCAATGGGGGAAATTTACCCAGGCCAGTCAGCAGCAAAGACTGGCTGTGACCACTGACCGCCAAACTCTGCCCTCCCTGGATGATCAGCTGTGCAGAAGCAGGACGGTGGTGCTCCAACGTGATCTGTAGCTGTCCACTGGTTGTGCAGGCTCTGCAGTTTCCTTAGTGGTGCAGGCCGAGGTCAGCTTCCACCTGTGTTCTGTCCGGGGCCACCCTGAATGAGCTACAAAGCAAGCTGCAGAGGAGTGCTACTTGTCCTGGGCTTAGAAGTTGCCAGGTGAAGCCAAACTGTGATCCAAAGCTGGCTGCTGCTAGTGCCTGGGGTCTGGGGCCACTTAGCAAGGGAAGGGGTCAGGGGGTGGCGGAGGGAGGCTCACTGGTCAGGCTGCTGCTTACAGGATAGGATTTAGGAAGTTGTGAAGAATGAGGCAAAACCAGCCATTCATATGAAAAAGCTACTGTTAACAGTTTGGGTAGACTGTAAAGTTGGGTGGGACAGCGCCTCAGGGCATCTGCAGGGTGAGGCAAATTGTGTTAGCCAGGGTGATGGAGTCTCAGGCATGGCATCCACCTACAGGCTTTGGGAATCCATGGGGGAAGGGTTCAGAAAAGCGACAATGGCCTCTACCTGCCTTTATGTCTGGGAGAAAGCTGTCCCTCAGCTCTCACCTTGATGCCAAATACTTCGGTTCCTCCCTGTATGCCACTGGTACCTTTCAAGCTGCTACCCTGGTGCTGGAGGTCAGAGGGAGTTGAGTCTGAGTAAGTTGGTGTGTGGGTTCTTTAAGAGGAACTGCTTGGGACTCCATAAGTTTCTTCCACCAACTCAATCCTTACTGATTTTTGCAGCCAGAAGTTACAGGGACTATCTTCTTGGCACTGGAACCCTGGGCTGGGAGGCGTGGCGTGGGGCTGGGACTCCTTGTTCCCGAGATATACCTCCCAAATTTTTATCCACACACATGGATGTGGCACCAGCCAGTTCCATTTATCTGCCCTTCCTATTAGCCTGGATGGATGTGGTTTCTTTAATTCCATAGTTGCCAGACTTCCATTCAACTTGATTTCTGATGGTTCTGAGGATGGTTACTCTATTGTTTAGTTGTAATGTTGATGTGGTTGTGTGAGAAGGTGTGCTGTATCTGCCTATGCTGCCATTTTGATTGGAAGTTCATAATTTTTTCATTTATTCCTATCTCCTAATTAGTGTGAAATTTTACTAAGATTCTCAGAAGGCAATCTTAATAATTTATTTTATTTTCAGAACTGCCTTACCATCATATTCATGCATTGCCTAAGGTACAGATGAAATAGAGAATTAAAGAGGAAGAGAAGTCATGAGTAGGTCATAAAGCTTAGGGAAAAGTTCAAAAGTAAAAATTGAGAAGATGTTAGTAGATACCAAGCACCCGCCTGGGACTACACACTGTGCTAAACACTTACATGCATTATTCATAATATATAACATAACTGTGGTAATATTAATAATCCCATTTTACATATAAGGAAATTGAGGGTTAGAAAAAATAAGTAACTTGCCCTGGATCCAAGCTTACAAAGTTGAACATGACTAAGGAAATAGTCATTGTATTAAAAGTTTGGGAGATCCTGAAAAACTTTATGAATGAAAGCAAGAAGGAAAAAAGAAGGAGCAGTTATAAGGCTTTCTTTCAAGAAATATGTGGGCAGGGGGAAAGATAAGAGAGAACAGGAAAAGGAGCAAGGCACTCTGGGGGCACTGGGCCTTTGCGAATTTAGGCAGACCCAGTTATGGTTACCTCGTGCGTACCTGCTGTGCGTCGGGTACTTGCTAGGCATGTGAGATCTGCAGACAGGAGGGACGGGATAACTGCTCGGGCGACTAAGAGGCTGGAAGAACAGAGGGTTCAAAGCACACAGCTGGACAATTAGCCTGGGTCAAAACATGGGACACTTCTTCCTTCACTTTCCTCAGCTTTTTTAAAATACCCACAGTCAGAACTGGGTGGTCAATTCTGATGTAAAATATAGGAAATAATTCTCCTCAGAAACAATGTTAGAAAACCAGAGTTCTTGTAAGAACTTACGGTTTATATATTGAATACAATAATTTTGGGGTCAACTAAATGTGGGTTAGTTGGTTCTGGTGGAATTATCCTAGAAAATTAACACCATATATGAACACTCTTTCTATGGGAAAATGTTTTTGAGAATGAAACAACCACCTTACAAAATAATTTCAGTGTGACCCAGTTATTATTATACATTGCCCAGTACCCAGTTCTCAAGAGAGTCAAGAACAGAACATTATGAATAGTTGTTACTGCCACCTGCCTTTCTGAAACAAGTCACAGGATTCTAGAACACCCAGGAGCAAGTAGGCTGATCTCTCGTTAAAAAAAAAAAAAAACTTTTAAGTTTTGCTCTAAAACAATCAATGGGTCTCTGAGCCAAGTGACCAGACATGAATTTTCTTCCCATAGCTCCTTCCCATTTTGCACCTATGGGGGAAAAACAAAGACAACAATCTGAAAACAATTGAAAGGATTTAAAAATTATTTACTCTTTACTTTTATTACAATAAATATTTATCAATAATAGAATTAAACAATTTTAAATTAAAACCTACTACATTACTTTTGGGTTTCACAGCAGCAGAAATAAACATAAATCCAGTTGAAAGGACAAGGCTTCCAGAATCCAGTGGCAAGAAACAGTCGGCTCTTGATTATCTGGGCTAGCGACGGGGAACAGCAGTACCGAGATGCAAAAATATCAGTAACATACATGGTTGTACTCTACTCGTACATCAAAGACTTATCTAAGATTTCACAACATTCCAGCTAAAGCCTTTGAGAAAGGCTGTGATGCCCCGCTTCTGTGAGAGCTAGACTCCCCACCATCGAACCCAGGAGCAGAGTTGCTCCCAGAGCTGCCTTCTGGCCAGGAACGGGCCCCCACTGTCTCCAGACCCAGAAGCCCCAACCCTCATGGCGGCAGCCATCTTTCTCAAAAGCTGTCCTTCTGGCTCACACACTCCCTGGTGAAAGGGTAATGGAACGTGACTCACTTCAAGGGCCTTTCCTGGGGACTGAGGTGAACGAGAGGAAAGACTGGGGCTCCGATGAGGAAGAGGCTTCACAGAGTTAGGGGCTACACGCAGGTTACGTCAACACAGGGGAGGTGCAGTGCGGGCTCACCACTTCGCTGATAATCAAGAGTAGACTGCATGTATATACATATACATCATACATATATATGCACAGAGGACAGGTGTGTACATATTAAATATGTATATACACACCCCCCCCATATACAACCAGACAAAATAAGTGCTACATTATTTACTATGAACACAGTAAGTCCTAGACAGACTGATTACTAATAGGTTCAATTAAACTACCTGAAAGGGCAAAATAAGATTTTGTGCTCCTCTTCACCATCTTCTCTAGTATATTCTACGTGTAGCAAATATATTCCAGTTGCTCCAGTGGTATTGTTTCTATGTACCTGAGAAGGGATGGAATTGTCCATTTGTTTCAGAATACTACAAAAGCAAACTGCAACAGGACCAAGATAAACAACTTAGTAATTGATTCAGCCATGATTCCTGCCACCTAGTCACTGGGCATCTAATCTTACTCAGAAAGTATCCAATTCTTCCTCTACAATTGGCTACAAATCTATTATATTAGATGGGAGGGGAAGGGGAAAAGAGGGCAGCCGGGAATTTACACCCACATCTCAGCAATTATTCATTTCCTGCCTTCCCCTTTACCCAGGGGAAGTGCTACAGTTGAAATTTGGAGTTTAACACTAAATTCTACTTTCTTGGCACAGTTCAGAATGAGTAAATAACATCTGCAGCTGGGTCTTTGTCTCCTGAATGGCTGCTCTAATGGAGTAAGTTGTCTAAAGAAAATACCCTACAAAAAATGTTAATATTGTGGTCAGTCTTTTTTGTGTGTTTGTCTGATAATGAATGATACCAGTATTTTAAACAGATTTATAATGCAGTATTCATACATCGTGTAAAATTAAAATAGGCTCCTGGTTAATAACATCAAGTACTAACTAAACATATTCCTGATCAAGAGCTTACCTCAGTTAACAAAAAGTACTCAAAAGGAACATCAGAATCTAGCCCTGGCTGTTGTGGCTCAGTGGACTGAGCACTGGTGTGCAAACCAAAAGGTTGCTGGTTCAATTCCCAGCCAGGGCACATGCCTGGGTTGCGGGCCAGGTCCCCAGTTGGCGGGGAGTGTAAGAGGCAACTAATTGATGTATTTCTTACATGCTTCTCTCCCTCCCTTCCCCTCTCTCTAAAAGGAAATAAAGTCTTTTTTTTTTAAAAAAAAAAAAAGAATACTAGAATCTAAAATTCATGGAGAATAGTATATGTTTTAAGTTAAAAAATTAATTCTAATCGTTACCCATACAAACTGCTCAAGAGAAGACTGTAGCCAAAGAGCCATAAGGCACCCATAGCATTTAGCTAGTCCTTGTGTCTTCAAACCTGTCTCTGCTTTCAGTGTGGCATTAGGTGCTCTAGGGCCATGGGCCAACTCACGCGCTCTGAAAACAGCACCCTTTCAATTTGGCCTGGTCTTCTAAGAATGCTTCTGTGATGAGTAAGGCAATGTGAACGGTCTGTGGAAAACCAGACACTCCTGCTGTGTCCAAACGGACTTTCCTAAGGAGACAAGCTCTTTTTAAAGTATCCTAACATCAGTTCATGTGCCACTTTCCAATGCTGGGAACCTGGCCTTTCTAACCAAATGCTATAAGCCACCTGTGAGAGGGCTACAAATGGAAAAACTGCTTTCGCTATCCTAAATATTAGCTTATTTAAGGTCTGTCTCTATAAAGAGCCGGTCCCTTTGAAGCACTTTAAAAACAAACAAAAAACCAAAATCAGCCAGATTACTATTTCTTGCATATTTGTTTACTAAAAAGCAAAGCATCTTACTAGCATGCAGGTTAAAAAATAAGGTTACATTTATTTTGCACTGTAGAAACACTGGAAATGAATTAGCCAATAAATCCAATTCCCATGGCTCCACGCAAGGAAGAAGTAAACACATCGCCGCTTTCTCTGGAAAAGTTAAACAACCATGATTTACAATATACCCTAAAAGTAGCTGCCTGCCAATGTCGGTCATCTGTACCACTTCAAAGGTGAAAAGTAAAACACACAAATCATGTGGGCCTCATAATTAATAAAGGAAAATCAGAATTTACTTAAGTTTACTAAAATGCAAAGCATCAGACTTTCAAGTTTCACAGTGATTAATTTAACACCATTTTATTGTTAAAACTGTCACCTTAAGTACGCATGTCAAAGTGCTTCCAATGCAGCATACTAGTTAAAATTCCTGGAAGGTTCTAGCACTGGCAGCCACGAGGTTATTCGGCCACAAGGTATGAAGAAAGGGCATGCTGTCTCACTAAGAAATTTCAGAGGACAGAGAAAATTCTAGTGTAACTTCATTAATTTCTTAAGGGTGCTCAGTCAAGTCCAGCACTGAGGTCGAGACGAAGGCCACTCGGAACACAGGAATCAAACAAACATGTCCATACCTGGTTTTCGCTGACTTAGGGACCCAAAGTCAAAAGTTCTAGTCCATCAGGTTTACCTTGTTCCCTCTGGCACATTCCCAGTCCTTGACTCAACAAGATATCTAAGGCAATCAAAGACATTTGAATGGGGAAAAATCCAAGAGCAACACAGCAACTGGGCATCCCTAGGTGAAGGGCTAGTCCTAGGTGGTGGCTAATTAAAACGAAACCCAGGTGAAGACCAAAGAGGAAGAGCTACAAATAGACTTCTAGTGAAAATATAAGAGGGAAAGTAGGCTTTGATTCAAGCACCTTCAGATTATCTTTTTATTCTTCATAGGTTATAGCATCAAAGTCTCCTTTGGAAAGCAAGGTACATTCCAAATGCTTTATGACTGACTACAAAATAAACTAATTCTTTGAAAATTAAACACTTAAGAAACTTTGAATTTGAAATTAGTAGAGGAATGATGAGCTCAATTATGACAATTTAAGATTGTGCATTATATTTAAGCCATTGGGCCCTGAGGGCACTAGGCACTAGGATGTCCCGTCCTCTAAAGCAGATATTATGGTGCTTTTTCCTTTGCGTATTTGCCCAATGCCCAGGCCCCACATCATGATCAATACTCTTTTGGTATTTAATTTAGAATTTGGGCAACTCTTCCCAATAGCTCTATACTATAACAAATGACGTGTTGGTAGTAGTACTATAACATTCTAGACCATAATCAGCATTTAACTTTCATTTTAATTAAAATTAAAATATGCTAACCATGATATTATTAAATATCAAGGAAGACTATTTAGTTTACGTGGAAGTTATTCACTCTATTACCCTTTAGACTAAAACCCATAAACTATATTTATTCCTTATTAGTGGAAGAATGGCTATTTAAACTGTAACAATTTTAAAATGTGCATTGCACTAAGATCATGCCATTACAGGATCATAAAAGGCAGCATTAACACACTCTCTCGGGGTATTTTCAGCTTTTTCTATCCCACGCCCCCTCATATGCAGGGGAATTATTTTCTGACAAGCAAGAAAGGACATTTTTCATACCATAACCTGAAAAGAAACTTCTCTGACAGGTCTAGGAAACTTTGGTCACCAGAAACACAAAGCAAACCTCTGGCCTGGCTAAGGCACTCTATTCTGAAATGTACAGAACACATGTATGGATGACCAACCATCCCCCAAAAGGCAGCTCAGTGTACACTGGGAGAAAGGCTGGGGTGTGAACTCACCCCAAATTATCATGCATAAGCCTGAAATAGCTTGTACACTTTGGAAATGTTTTGATAATTGGCATGGCATAAATGAACAGAGCTCTTTGTCATTAAGTCCTGCTTCAGGCATCCCATCACTACAACAACAGGGCGCTTTCAAGACGGCAGACTAAACCAAGAACAAGAGTCTGCGGTACACGACAGGTGCACAGGTTCACAGTGTTCCGAAACGGTTAATTACCCGGTTTCGCTTCCGCTTGACCACCACCTTTCTTTCATCTAAGGATGTCAACAAAACTGACTATGGCATAATTCTTGACCACTATAGGGAAATAAGCCATAAAGCATAGGCACAAAACAATTTTCAAATAAACCTGATGCAACAGAAAGAGAGCAGAAACACAGTTTGAGGTAAAAGCCCCAAAATTACAGGACATGACCTTTTTGCCCGAAACAAGTATTTCCTTACTTTACTACAAAAGATGAAGAAAGCCTGTGGTCCAAATGTGTCATTTTATAAATATTTATCAGTTCCTTTCTTTTATCATGCAGATTAATTTCATTCTTCTGTACAAGGTCAACAAAACAGTAAAATGACTAGCTTAGAAACTTGAAAGAAAAAGCTCTGTTCCCAGACCAAACGAACACTTTGTCCATTTCAGTTTCGCAGATGACACAGAACAAGGTATACAAACAAGGGCATTACCTTCCCTGAACTGTCTCATTCTCTGACCTCAATCATGGCACCTTAACAACAAACATAGAATCACTACCCACATTTTCCACCTATTTTCAGTGATCATTTTCGGCACAGAGAAAGTCACTGCATAGACCTCAACCTTTCCAAACATTTTTTAAAATCAGTACAGAACCATGAGTTAGCTCCTTGACTCCTCATTTCTACAAACCTAGGCGACAATTATTGGAATTTACAAATTTAAAAATTGAAATATCAATTACGTAGTTATTTTTACAAAGCAGCAGACAGAAATTCAACAAAGGAATACACTATAATTAAATTTTTAAATGGTCACATTCATAGATAAATAAGGTTATGAATTTAATTACATATCAACACAGTGGTGCCTATTTTATCCAAGTGCAATCCATCCAAAAAAAGGGTTTAAGATACACTCTTCATTCAAGCACAAACTTCATTCAGTGGAAAATTTTTTAAAAAGTAAGTTTCACCACCACCAAAGTAAATAGAGACAAAGTCGAAAAGAAATAAAAGGAAATATCCACATTCATGAAAAGGTGTGATCTATAAAACAACCACATTAAAATCAAAGGTATTTTGATGTTTGTCAGTAAACCTCAAAAATTATTCCAAGTTATATTAAAGAGACTGTACTCAATAAGGCATACATATAAAAATTTTCTTCAAGTGGGGAGGTGGGCAAGTTGGAGAAGAGAGAATTTCTCCCTATTTCTTTTCCTGAATAAAATTTTTAAAAAACCCAGCACTCTCTCCTCCACAAAAAAGAGACAGAGGGAGAGAGAATGGAAGGAAGGAAAGAAGGACAAACTGAATCAGAAAACTAATTTAGTAGTGACGTTCACGGTAGTGATTTCACAGCGAGGTTCATGAGATTCCTACTCCAAAGTAAATTTCTCTAATAAGGAAGTTTATCTGTGTTCCTCACAAGTAATTACCATAAGACTCACACAGTCACGTGCACTCATTTAATCACAGTTTACAGGCACCAAATCTCAGCATCTTGCAGCTGAGGTTGGGGGGGAAATGCCACATTTAAACAATGAACCATGCCAATGGGGAAGCTGTAATTACAATCCATTCTCTACCGCGTCTCAATAGAATATTTTTCTTTAAAAGAAAACTAACCCATTTACCACGCTCCATTCCGTAACAAAGAGAGTCAGAATACTAGAGAATCTAAATATATATATATTAGCTCTCTTAGCACATGAGGACAAAGGCATTTCCATGGGAAAGAGAAACCAGTATTTGGCAAACCTGTATACTGTTCTGTAATCATTTGGCATCTCTTGCTGAAGGAGACTTGCTCTTTTCCCTACATTACATGTGGACTACTGATAGCTTCCATAGCTAGCGACCAACTATGCCTACTAAGTACCAAATATGAAAACTGTATCAGTGCTCTAAACCAATGTGGGGGTTTTAAAAATAATAAAAATAAAGCATCTTTAACTCAGTATGAACCAAAACATTATGGACTCATGAAGCTAAAATCACTAGAAACATTTTGCTGGTCTAATGTACATTATGCTTAACCAAGACATCACATGGTTTTATAAAAAATAAAGTAAGCTGGGAGTCAGTAGGTTCAAAATTCCACATTTCAGATTATATATATCATTCCTTCTGTACAAGTACCACACAGAGTTCCCATGTCTGTTAAGCAGATCAGTTTAGTTCGATGGTGATGGATGAAATATTTACAAGCATCTTATTTACAGTACTTCCTTCTGTAGATTACAGGCCAATATTCTTTTCTTCCATTCCTAGTCAATCTGAGTTTGGTTTCCTCAAGGAGAAGGGGTAAATCTGAAAATGGCTGCTCAGCTGCTTTACCTAGAGAAAACCAGAACAGGAGGCAGTGACAAATATGTACCTAACTACTTTTCAAAAGCACACAGAATTCACCCTCTGGAGACAACAATTTACTGACACAGCAAAAATCACCGGAAATAATGAAGGTTTTTCTGGGCTAGGATAACTAGTGAGCTAGATGGCTAAGTAAGAGTACCAGAACTACCCGGGGAGAGTCGGGACTTCAGCGTGGGTCTGCTTAACTCCACCATTCGAGTCTCTCCAGATCTTTCCAGACCACACAGATTCACTTCTAATCTACTGAATTACAGGGTAGCGGATTTAGATTATCTAGTAGATCAAATATTTACATATAAAGACTCAATATTCAGCTTTTTATAATATTTCTAGGAAATCAATTCCTAATCCCAATAAAACAGTTTAAAACTAGATCTGTTAATTTTCAGAGGTTTAGGCCATATTAGTTTGGATATCACTAATGTGTATGCAAGAGCTTGATTATGTGCCAGTTAGTAAATATCATTTGTTTGATATTTCTCATTTCCATTCTTATTTGTATTATTTATATGTCAATAGTTTAAGTGAATGTTTTGTATGACTTAGTGTTACCTTCTGTAGAAGAAGTGGTAAGAGAGCACAAAGAAAGACGAAAGGATGCTCCTGGAATTTCTTTCAGTTAGCTTGTATTTATTTTCCAGATTTTTAACAAAGAATATGTAGTACCTTGGTAATTTAAAGAAAAATGCATTTTGGTTTGGTATATATACGATTTTCTGAATATATGCTTCTGAAGGGTTATTAAACCAGTTATGAAAGACATTGGCAATTGTGTTCCACTTCATGCACATGTCAGAGGAAATGTCAGGATAAAGGCCTACGAATGTCGCTATAAAGCATATAATGTTGTTTGCACAAGTAAAGACAATTGTATCTTCATGTCATAATTCATAGACTTATCATGGTTTTTTTTCCCTAACAATTTCATCTATTTCATCCCAACAAACGTGGGATACTTTGAGGAGAAACATAAGGAAAGAAAGCTTAAGTTTAGTAACATATGCAAAGTATAAAGCTGTTATCAAGCATAACAGGCGCCCCCCATTTTATAAATATGAACAATATATAATTGTTTCTCAAACTGATCCACATCAAGGTTCCTTCCAAAACAAGCATACCAAACAGAAGTATTTTATGAGATAAAAATGTGAATAGCCTCTACATAACCCCGCTGCAATGAAATTATCCTCTGAAAATAAAGCAAATGAAAGAAAAAAATATTACACATTGTTCGCTCCAACACTATTTACAACAGTGAAAACTTGAAAACAAACCTAAATGATGAATATAACTGGATCATGATTACTTAATAATAACCCAATTTACTTAAACACCTTGATAGAATATGCTATTCCATTCAAAAATCATAATTATGAGAGTATGTTAAAATAGGTAAAACACTTAGGAAAGAATGTTAAAGTGTGATAAAAAAGAAAATGAACTGCATGGTTCTGATTTTCATTTTATTATATCTAACTTAGTCCATCTGTCTTTAAACTAGTCTCATATTTGAAGAGAATATTATGGTTTGCATAGTATCTTAAACCTTTTCTCTTCTGTATCTCCCATTATGTGTTATTTCTCCTGATGAGAACTCAGGAATAGGCTAGATGAAGTACAACCTCAAACAATGCAGAAGCCTCCCTTTAGTCTGAAGCTCTAACCTCCCTTACCACACTGCTTACAGAACTGACAGGGAGCGGGGGAGGCAGTGCTACCAAACCAATTTCAGTTTCTTTCCAAATTATGTTAATGAGCAACAAAAATGCCCCTACAGCTAAAGAAGGGCCCATAGAAATAATAAAAAATAGGACATCTAGTCCTATATAATTAAAAGCACAGAAGAGTTTACAATTCTCTTCACCACGAAAACGATTTACATTTCTACCTACTTAAAAACAAGAACTAATTCCTTATAATACTTAACCAGCTTTTAAATTATTTGTAGTTACTATAACATAGTCATTAGCGAAAGTCTTTAAAATTACACACCTGAATATTATCCAAAATTTAGAGAATATACCAAAATTCTTTCAGCTACAAGCAAACTTCCTTTTGAAATTTTCCCTCACCTTCTTTCCACTATTTATAAGAACCAAATGCAACCAATTTTTTTTCCAATGGAACCAACTTTGTTCTAGGTTACTCACCACACGCACTCCGTAATGGATGTGGGCCAGAGTGAAAACAGCTGTTAGTGTATACAGAAGAATGCTCTCAGTGTAAGCGGAGACGCCTAAGTTTACCGCCATGACAGCCAAGAAGAGAGGAGCCAGCAACCAATTCAAAGTTGGACATCTCGTACTGCTCATTTGACAAACAATCAGCTGACACTTGAAATTAGTAATTAAAAAAAAAAGGAATAAAAATTTAATTGGCAAACCACTTCCAAAACTTGTCACTCCAAAATTTAAAAAGCATTCCAGTGCTTGAGCCAACACATTATGTTACATTATGCTCAGTCACCTCAGCTGCTCAGGGGCCACCAGGACCTCTGCCCCCACCTCCCAGTCTGTGGACCCTCAAGACCACGTGTGTGTCAGAAGAGTCTGTGAGATAACTCAGGAAGGATGCTCTAGAAGGCTCTCTTCCACTAGGCAAGAGTTTGCGTAAAAGAAATTTTAAGATTCTATGTTATCTAAAAGAATTTTTTTTTTCAAAACCCCAACATAACTAAATTTCTTCATGGAGATGAAATGCTACCTCCAATTCACTCGTATTACCAATTAACACCTATGAGCCTCTTTGGCTCCCTTTACTTTCAACTCAAATATCCTTTATTCTTTCATAAATACCTTTTGTACATGGAAACGTAAGCTCAGTGGCTAAGTAAGAAAATAAAAAACTTATTAAGAACCTGGCCTCAGCACAGACTTTCGGGCTGTCAAAACTACCAAGGTCTTTTCTCAACTCCTAGTTTTTAAAAACATGCTGTATTTATTACATAGTTTATAATCCCATGTTCTTAAATTAAAAATCAGTTGATTAAACAAATGTGTGGGAGGTGTATGTATGATGTGTTTTCTCTCTTGCAAAAACCCCTTTCAAGCTCCCTAATTATGTCCGCAGCCATTTCAGCCACACTGTTAGTAATATTTATAGTCTTAAAGGATTCTATAAAGTATTCCATGGATTCTTCAGCAGGCAACCAAAACTAAAAATTTCAAGTATGTATGGTTCCAAAATACTACTGCAGTCTCTAAATCCTACTGGTTTCTAAGGGAAAAAAATAAAATAATTTCACCATGTTCTGTCTTTGAGGTTATTTTTTCCAAATTTTGAATTAAAATATATTTAAATTAAAATTTGCTTATTCTACTACTGTATAAGGTTTCTCAAATTATCAAACTCTGTCATATATTCCTTATATATATTATCGTTTAAAAAAAAATCTTACTGTGCTGTTGGCAAAGGCTGTTCCAACCATAAAGTAGAATAATCTAGGATGTATCTCTAAAATATCTGAAGGTGACTGGAGGATCCATGCTGTAGACAAAATGAACAGCAAACACGGAGAAAAGATGGGAACCATAGCTTCATAGACTGAATTGTGTTTCAAGGCGTTATTTTTATAGCTTCTGGAAAAAAGAATCAAGTAACACAAAGAATATTATTACACATAAAACTTATACTTGCATTTTACAGTTTTCAAAGTCTTTTTTTTTCAAATTGTTATTCTATTACAGTTGTCTCAATTTTCCCCTCAGAGTACTATCGCACATATTCTCTTATGTTATACTCACCGCAGTTCTATGGATAGGCAAGAATCTTTTTAAGTACGGACATGAGAATTTAAATTTATGTAACTTGCTACCAAGTGGCAGAACCAGGACCAGAACTGAAGTTCTCTGGCCTGGTCCTATTTTTACCCCTGGAATGGAACAAGACTTGGTCTTTGTTCTGTGACAGCGATTTCAACCCGTGTGCTGCAAGAGGTGCACTGGTGTGCCACAAGAATTTTTAGAACGTGCAATATCTGACTAGTTGATTGGGTTTAGTCAGGAGCACCGTCCTCTTTTCCCTTAGATTGTCAAAAGAAAAAATTGATAACAACTAGAAACCTATATAATTTTATTAACTAATGTTGAATTGGTTAAATTCACAGTGATTAATTTGAAATTTTAAATTCAATTAAAAAGTAAAAAAGGAGCCAACACAACAATAGCTATCCGATGTGAATGAATCAAAATTATACATATTTTTTTTGTCAGACCAGCAAAAACGTACTATACTTTTGGGTGTGCTGAATTTTAGTAATTAGTTGATGTGTGCCATGAGATGAAAAAGGTTGAAAATTGCTGTTGTATAAGATTGTATCCTAACAGGGAAAATAAAATGAACACAAGGCAATACCAGAAGAGGATCTCCCAATGCTGCTATGATACAAGTGACACAGAACTTAAAGTGAGAAACAATTCCCATGGAAGATTCTGAAATGAGACTGCCGATAGCACTCTAGGGTCTCTAGGCACCTTTGCTCATCTGAACAGAGCCCCCAATTCTAGCCCTGGTTCTGCCACTGACTGTGTGCCCTTGGCCAAGGTGTTGTCCAATCAGGATCTCGTCTTTAGAAGATAAGCAAGAAATGACTCAAATAATCTCTATGGCCTTCAGAGCTTTAAATTTTATGGCTTCTGTGAATGACTGCCAGCTGCAATAAACAAGAAGATTCACAGAGCGTGGCTTGGCTGACATGGATGGGATTCTGCAAGACAGATCTGATAGCTGAAGGATGAAAGTAGGAAGTATGAGAGTTTGTCAAGTAGAGGGAACAGCGGAAGCAAAGATGCTGACGAAGGGAAAGGCAGAATATACTCAGGTCACAAACAGAAATTCAGTGCGGCTGCACAAAGGTGGGGAAATGCAGAGCAGAAAAATGAAACGCCACCTGGGCAACTCCCCTCCCCACCCCCACCCCCCCGCCGCAGGCAGGAAGTACAACAGCGCTATTTGAGAAGAGTTAGCATAGGTCTAGGAGTTGGTCCTAAACTACACGAGCTCAGAAGTTTTTCTTTTTTTTAATGATGATGCTAAGTAAACTTAGGGATAATCAATCTATGAAACAGAATGTAAATGTATCAATATTCAACAGGAACATACTTCCTGTGGATAGATTCACTCACAAAAAATGACAAATTAGAAGACTAGTGAGTCCAAAACTGTAACAAACGAACAAGAGGGAGTAGTTCTGTGCTGTGGTTGCAATGACTACACAAGCCCCCACAGACACCCTAAATTATCCTGACCTCCTTCTAGATTCGAAATATAGGTTTACAACCTCCTCAGAATGTCCAAGATTCCAAAAAAAAAGTGACCCCAAAACTCATCTAGATTACAGTTTCTAAAGGTTTTCTCGTTTCCTACCCAATTGAAAAATGAAGCACACAGCAGTGTGATGGCTGCTGGGGCAGGGCACATAAGGGGACCGGGGGGGTAATGTGGGAAATACCGCGGAGATTCAATGTGAAAAATAAGAGAGAGAATAAAATACTTACCTGTAAAAGTTGAATAAACTCATTGGAAGAGTCACAAATAATGCACAACCTAAAAGGAAGAATATTTAAATCATCATGATTACTCTTCAAGTGACTTTTATAATAATCAAATATATACAAAATAGGTACTGTTTTTAGACATAATAATTTTCAGGTTCTAGTTTACTTCTGTAATGGAATAAAAACTTTTCTGGACAGCAGTCACAACTGCATGAGTGGCAGCACAGTTTGCTGATTCAGGGCAGACTTCGAGGAGCCAGACTGGACTTCAGTCTTGGCTGTGCCGCCAACTGGGTGATAGGGCTTCAGGGAAGTTAACCGGCCTCAGTTTCCTCATTTACAAAATAAAGAAAGATAATAGCAGCGCTGGCCCCACAGAGTTTCGAGATTTGAATGAATTATTTCCTGTAAAGACACCTTGAAGGGTACCTGGTATATAATATATTGTTCATTAAAGGTGAGTTATTGGAAGAGGGGGTAGCTAGTGGATCCTGCTCCTTCCCATTTGTATTTATTTTTACCTCCCGGGTGATCTCAGCTCCTTCCCCCCTTCCCGCCCCCCACACCAGTTCTTTCCTCTCAAACCTAAAAACGAGAATGGCCTTCCCAAGAAACCCTATCACCACTGCTTCTGCTCTATACTAGCTCCTATCACTCGCCAAAATTTAATTTTCTGTCCCCTTAATTCCTCAGCACTCAGTTCATTCTGCCTCCTGATCTGCAGAAATTGCATTCTTAAAATTGACCACGCTCTCCTGATGATAAAATTCAATATTCTTTCTTCTTTCTTGACTTCTCCGTAAGATGACTCCATTAACTATCCACTAATTGCAATTCTTTCCTCCCTCTGCCTTTGCAATTCCATTCTCACAGTGTCCCTGCTAACCACCCAACCATCACATTTGGTCTCTTGGTGGGACCTCTACATCCTGCATATTCTTAACTGGTCGTTCTACTGGGCCTCCACGCTCCCTCAGCAAATCCTCTTACAGCTTTAATCATAAGCCCCCTTCCTACAAATGCCTCCAAAACCTCGTTCTGTACTCGTGGGCAAATCAGACAACCTGTCCAAGCTTCAGACACCTCAGCCCTATGACAATGGGTTACATGATTTTCTAGTATCCCTTGCATCTTTAAAATTCTCTGATTCTATAGAGATGTAAATTCATGCTCTTACTTCAAACTCCTAATCACTGCATGTGGTACTTTCTGGACACTTCACTTGGATATGTCATTGTCACTCGACATATTAGCCCTAGTTTGTCCACTCTGGACTCCCAGTAGCTACACATGGCTTGAGGGGTGGAGGGTGGCCATGCAGCTGTGGTTGTAAAGCTCAAAGGCAGAGAAGCATCCCGTCAAAACAATTCCTAAGACATTTTGCTAAAACAGATGAAAACACTGGAATCCACAACAGAAAAATCTCATCTCTATTTCCAAGTCCAACTGGAACAAAGTTCCCCAAGTTAGAAGCTTTTAGAGGGAAACAAAGGAGGAGAAATGCTGTTCTCAAAGTCCTCAGAAATCTTCAGCAGTTTACTCCATGAAAGGGAGTCAAGACTAAATGAATTAACACAGAATTACTTGTGGCTCTGAGGTGTTGGAAATAGACTGAGAGAAACTTGCAAAATATTTGCTACCAAGAGCATTTAGTAGTTTAAAATGTCTTCCAATAGCTTTATCCAAAAGCATGGAGAAAAGCCCAGGCTCTATAGAGGCTGTCAAAGAAAAAAGAATGCATCTAATAATTCTTTTCTAACAAGCACTTAATGTATATTCTAGGAGTCCGTAATTGTTCATTTAAACCCTCATCTATTGAACTCTGTATGATGACAGAATCCACACACGTGCAGGCCTGCTTTCCGTATTGCCGTAGGAACGCCCAGACTTCATAATATTGGAAACTTAATAGCTATAGAAAAATTAGAGTATAATTCATAAAAAAGAATCAAATAAAATGAGATATACTCCAAGGATAACATGGTCACACAAAATATTTTGGTTCCTCATATTTCCAGGCTTATTTATTAAACAGGAACTTCAACTAAAACCAAGACAGAGTAACTTAAGAAAAGTGAAAAAGACAAACAAACAAGGGGGAGGGATTGTAATTTATATCAAAAGATCAATATACCTAATCTATGAAGAGCTTCTAAAAATAAAGAAAACGGTTAATAATCCTATAGCAAAAATTGGCTACATATATAAAAAGTACACAGAAAAAAGGATGCAAATGACCCTTAGAAACACTAGAAAAGTTCATTCATACAGTAAGAGAAATGCAAATTAAACCTATTGATATATCAGTTCTTACTTATCAGATTGGCAAATATCCAAAAGTTTAACAATTTACTATATTGATAAAACTGTAAACAAATAAGCATTTTTCATATACACTTGGTGAGAATTTAAAAGAAAAGTGTCCTTTACTAACAATTCTACTTCTAGGGATCTTTTCCAAAATACTCTGGTAAAAATATAAAAAGACATACATATGTACAAGACTATCCACTGCAGCAACTTGTGTAACAGCCAGAGACTGGAAATAACTCAAATGTCCACCAGCAGAAGACTGGTTGAATGAGCTATGACACATCCACACAATAAAGCACCAGGCAGATGCAAGGAAAAAAATGAGGACCCTCGTATATTGCTACGCAGTGACCTCTAGGGTACGCTATTGAGTGGAGGGGGAAAAAGCAAGTGCAGTGAAAAATGTATAGTATGCTACCATTTATCTATAAAAAGGGGTGATAAAACCACATACGCACTCTCACACACACACATTTATTTCTATTAAGAAACAGTGTGAAGATAAACCAGAAACTCAAAACTAAGAAGGGTTAACTAAGCCCTGGCCGAGGGCTCAGCTGGTTACCGCATCCCCACACACATCAAGAATGGTTAGCTATGAAAATAAAGTGAAACAAACCAAAATATATATATATATCCAGTTGGTGGCATAGCTACAGAGTGGTAACTTTAAAATATAGTAATCTCACTGGGTATCCCTAGTAGAATAAACCATAAGGATAAATGGAACCTCAAAAAACCAAAATCTTAAACAATTTTCAGTAATCATATTGTTGCTGATTTTGGTACCATATTCTGAGACTGTTGTAGGTATTTTGTAAAGTAAGTATTTTGTGTCATTGAAAACAGAGTTTTGTCACAGTTTAAAGGATACAAATATTAAGATCAATGCAGTTAAAAAAAGTCTGTATCATCAAATCTAATTTGGAATTATCAGTATGAATTTATAAGATATTTTATTAAAAACAAACTTTATTCCCCTACCTATTCACTGAAGGAATAGATTCCTATGCAATGATCATCAACATCTGTTAATACTACTAGGTAAAAAGCTGATGCAGAACTTTGTAATAGATTGGAAAAGACATACAATACCTCAACCCCAGCTCTGATCACTATTCACATCAAAATAAAGAGAGACAACTAGATATTGTGTCTTCCTAAAAGTATCATTACCTACTAAGGATTGTTGCCAAAATAACAAGAAAATTAACCCTCTATCTAACAAAATCTGTGGATCTATTAGTTTATAGGGGAAAAAAAGAGGCAGAGGAACATGGTGAGTAACAAAATGAAAATATAATTAGCAAAATGCAGGCTGCAAAGGCATTTTTTAAAAAAGTAGTCAATAGAAACTTATTCTGAAGTGGACCCAGATGCTGAATTTGGCAAACAGACTTTAAAGGAGCTATTTTAATATGTTCAAAGAACTAAAGGAAAATATGGTGATAACAGAAGAACAGATAGGAAATTCAACAGAGAAATGGAATGTAAAAAGAACCAAGTGGAGCCCTGGCCAGTTGGCTCAGTTGGTTGGAGCATCACCCTATAACCAAAGGGGTGCAGGTTCAATTTCCAGTCAGAGCACATGCCTAGTTTGTGAGTTTGATCCCTGGGTGGGGAGTGGGTATGTGTGACCCCCAGTCTAGACACATGCAAGCCCAGGTCCAGGTACCAATACCCAGTCAGGGCACGTGTGGGAGGCTACCAATCAATGCTTCTCCCTAGCATCGATGTTCTCTCTCTCTCTCTCCCTTCCTTTCTCTCTAAAAGCAATGAAAAATAAGGTCCTTAGATGAAGATTAAAAAATAAATAGAAAATTTAAAAGAACCAAATCGGAAATTTAGAGCTGAAAAGTATGATAACTTCCATGCGAGATTCACCAGAGAGCCTCAAGAGGCAATCAGAGACAGCAAAAGAAAAAAAAAAGAGTGAACGAAAAGATAGATGAATAGAAATCATGCTCTAAAAAAAGGAGAGAAAAGATTAAAAAACATTAATAAAGCCTCATAAAATTACCTGTAGGACATCATCAAGAGAAGCAGTCTAATATACATGTAAATGGAGTCCCAGAGAAGAAAAGAAAGACGTAAAAAAATCTGAAGAAATAAACTTCCCATATTTGGGAAAAACTTTGTTTGGCTAAAAACTTCCCACAGTTACTCAAAAATATTGACTTACACATGCAACAAGCTCAACAAACACCAAGAAAAACAAACACAAAGAAAACCACACCTATGTACATCATAGTCAAACTTAAAAGCCAAATCTTGAAAAGCCAGAAAATCTTGAAAACAATGAGAAAAATAATGCGTTACAAACAGGGTGACAATGATGTATGAGCTGGCTCAGAAAATGTGGATGCCATGGGACATTAGAATGACATACTCAAAGTGATGAAAGAACCCCAAGGGTTATGGGGTAGTGGTGCATCTGAAGTAAGACTGGCGCTAGTATTGACAACTGTTAAAGCTGGGTGATGGCACATAGGGAATTATTATACAAAAGGAGAAACAGAATATAAATGTTTAAATGTTCTCATAATTAAAAAAAGGGGGAAAAATGAGAGCAGGAATCTTGTTTTCTATCTTGCTGGCCCGTCTGTTGCACCCAAAGAAGGTACCGTCCATACTGATGAGCGGGAGCCACTCCACCTCTTGCCCGCCTTTCGTTAGCCCTTGCCGCCTTGGGAGCTCTCGCCCAGCCTGGCCTCCCCAGCACCGGCACTACCAATTTTACTGGCAGAAACTTAGGCCCTAGGGCCCTTCTATGTATTGGTGTCTACTCAAATCTAGTACTGGAAAAGCTACTTTAATTATCCATAGAGAAACATGTGGGCTTTTATTTCACAGGGAAGAACTCAGATAAACTTATAAATGACAAAGAAAATTATGTGCCCAATAAAGTACCCACTTAACTTTCAAAAATATATCTCATATATCAGAGAATTCCACCTTATCTTTAAAATTTAACATTTAAATGTAGAATGCAGGAAACCTGCTATAGGACAAGCTGCCTAAAATCAAAAAATCCACTACATGGTGAGAAGTGAAAAACAGCCAGCCTTTCCAAGGTAAAGAAATCACAGCTTATATAGGTACCAAAAAGTGAACATTTGGTAGATTATGGCAGGGTTCCTAAAATATCTGTGATCCAGAGCCACAAAAAAAAAGGCCCAAACCACTCCTTTTCTGCCAGCCAATGCCTAAGGCACCATTTTTTCAGCTGTTTCTAAGTCTCACCTAATTCCCATTCCATTACCAAGGTTCATCAGTAGAAAGGAACTGGGTTATTTTTTAGGTAAGGGAATAGCAATAGCCAACAAGTATGATTTTTAATTCAACAAAGCTCTTTAGTGCCACTCCTGATGCTCCCAAATAATCCAGAGTCCTCTTCCTTTTTGCCTCTTTCCACAGAAAACATTCTCCCCAATTCAATCATCCTGTAGATAACTCTTTCAACTAAATTAAAAGGGAAACATTATCATGGTTAAAACCTGTATCTAGTATTCAGTGGCACAAGAAGGAGATACATAAGATGAACAGAGGCTGTTTTTGAAGTGGATGTATTACAAAGTAATCTTCATTCTATTTCCTATAAACTAATAATCTTTAACATTGAGATAAGTAAAAAATCTGTACCAAATGTCACCTCCATGTGGATCCTCCAATACAATCTAGATTAATTTAAGTAGTTTACAAGGTTTGTGTGATCTATTTTGGTATTTTCTTCTCATTAAAAATAGCTTCACGCTGAACAAAAACAAAACACAAAGAAACCTTCTTTCCCTTCCTGATTAGGTTGAAATCCTACAGGTTGGTAAGGCTGTCCTGCTGGCTGTAGGGTGTTGGCAAAGGAGAAGGGCATCGCTGCTTGTTATAATCAAACACGGGCTTTGATAACAGTGATGTTAAAACAGGCTTCAACATGGAGCTTCTTACCAATAATCATTGCAGTGAATAGGTCTCTATATAAGAAATTAAACAGGAAAGGTTCATACCAGGCCTCAACTCCCACAATCGCAGTCACTATGTAGACAAAAGAAATAGTCTGGAAGGAAAATGCAGACAAAAGCATACAGAGGCATTAACGGCTGGAAAGATCAGGGAGTCGATAATGCTTTACACAGCATAAAGTCTATTCAAACAGTTTTAGTAAAAGCAAGAAGTATGCTTAAATTTGATATTGTGGCAATTCTTCTTGCCTTTAAAAAATTTTTTTCAGCCAACAATGCCACAGAATAACTAACTTCTAGACAAGGAAAGCAACTGGCCATCATTTGGAACACATTAAGGCACCTCATAAGTTGGGTGAGCCATAAGATGATCCAATTTGCCCACCCAATCACTTTCTTCATCAAAAACATTCCAACTTCTGATTCTTCACTGGGGCCTTAGGTGCAAATGGGCAAAATGGCAACACAAAAAGTAGAATTCAAAGGCAGGGAGAGTTAACAGCAGCCTATTAAGTAAAAGAAAACAAATCTCACTACTCACTGAGAAGTTGGCGAAAAGGACAAAAAGCCAACAATTATGGGCATATCTTTCTTTTACAAAATCAATAGTTAAAATGAAAGTTTATTAAGAAACTGTTCGTGTTTTTTTTGTGTAATAATGGCACTGTGTTTACACTTTTTAAAAAGAGCTCTTACCATTAAGAAATATGTAGTAAAATATGTGTCACATAATTTTAGGAATTTCCTTTAAAATAACTGGACAGGGAGGGAGGGAGAGGGGAGAAAGGGTGCACATGAAACTAGACTGGCCATGTGTTGATAACTACTGAAGCTAAGTAACAGGTTATGTAACAGTTCACTATACTATCCTCCCTACTTTTGTGTATATTTTAAATTTGCCATAAATAAGTAAAAATAGCATTTCAATATAAGATAATTTTTTAAAAGCACACATCAGTTCTAATCAAAAAGACATTAGGACAATAAAGAAATAATGACAAAAACCTCCCCCCAAATTCATGCCATGTAGACAATTTAAGTTAAAGCACATACTTACCACCTGGCTAATGTCATATCCCCATGGCAGGAAGAGAACCCCTGTGTTATACTTTTCCCAGTGGGACAGGATAAAAGAAAACAAAACAACCCATAGCAGCAGATAAAGAACAAAAACACTGACACCAGATGATCCTCGTCCAAAGATGGAATACACAGTTACAACAAAGTAAACACATGACCAACTATCCAGGCCATGGTCAAAAAGCTCCCCTAAGGGGGTGCTGGAATTAGTTCTGCGGGCTTGCTTTCCATCCACACCATCTGCAACAAAAACACATCACCATAGGAAAAGGTCAAATCTGTACTAGTATGGAGAAAGCCTTCTTAAATAAACTGGAAAAAACAAACCAAAACAAATCAACATATCACAGGAATGTTAATTAACTAAAGTATAGCTACCGGCCAGTACTGGTATAAAAATAGTATAAAAATCTAACCTTTAATTTCTGCAACTCAAATATTTCAGAAATAAAATTGATAATTTCTCTAAATGTAATCTAAAAATTAAAATGTTGTATTACGCTGAATGGAGTCAATTTTAGATCTGAGGAGGAAGCTCTCTAGCTGGACTCTGAATTCCTCCAAATCTGCCTAACAACTGAATTGTTCCACTAGCCACAAATTCCCATGTCTCCAGAGAACATTCAATAGTTATTCACTATATTTTATCTAACCACTCCTAGCTCTCGGATCCAAAACCACTATACTTCAGCTACAACACCTATCTCATCTTGTTTGATATTACAGCTCTACCACCTCCACAATTTTAAGTGCTTTCAGAAAAAGTTTTGTGCATAATACATTTCAGTAAATGTAAGAATCTATTGAATCCATGCAATGCACAATTCTCAATTTTTTGAAGATCACAAGAATGTTAGAATACGCTATGCTTGTGCCCTCAGAGTGTTTACAACTGATAAAAGAGGAAAAAAAAGTGATAATTAAAGATAGTGCATCACAAACCATAGAAGAGGACAGAAAAGGGACAGGTTCTCTTCAGCCTAAGATAATCTAGAACGGCTTTGAAGACAAGATGAAATCTGAGTGGGGACATAAAGCGTGAGTTGGATTTCAGTAGATAAGAGATAAAGGAGTATGCCATTTCAAGAGGAGGGAGTGCTATCAGCAAAAACACCGAAATGGAAAAGCACATGCCTGTTCAGACAAAGCCAAGTAGCTTAGTTTGATGAGAAACCAGTGTGTGCAGCGGACAGTATAAAGAGGCTTCTAGCAGAAGGAAGGTCTGAGTCAATACAAAAGTGTTAGGGAGCATGAGGAGCTACTAAAAGTAAGTGCATCAGGGAGCGACAAGAGTGAAATGAATGAAGTGCTTCAGGAAGATCACCCTGACATCAGGGTGAATGACAAGCTGGAAGAGGAACACTAGTTAGTGAGCCAACACTGAGATGGAATGCAGGGTGAATGAAAAGCTGGACCAGGTGAGGTAGCAAGTAACTAAAAATGACGAGGTAGCAGAAGATGAGAGGTGAGGCCGAAGTACAAGAAGACCACCTCCGAAGTTTCCCATCTGAGTAACACTACAGTGAGTGTTAATAGAAATGAGGAAGTCAGTAGATGGAACAAGACTGACAGAAAAGATGCTGAGTACAATTTCCGAGGCTGAAACTGAAGTGTTAGAATATCCAAATGGTAATGTCAAGCAAGTCAACCCCAGGGTACTTACTGGTAACTAAGGAAGGTAACTACCAGCTAGCTATAAACAAGGGAGTCATCTCTATAGTGTTAAGAATCAGGATTACCAAAGGAATTAGTAAAAAGAAAAAGTTAAGGATAAAGTATAGTGGAACACCATTTAGAGGCAGAAACAGAGGAACCTAGGGGAAGGACATGAAGGTGGAGGCAGAAGGGGAAGGTAGAAGGACAGGGAGAGGGAGAGGAAGAGGAAGGGAAAGAGGTGCGGAGGAAAGGAGAGGAAAAGAGAGGAAGGGAGGGAGGGAGGGAAGGGGGCGGGGAGAGAAAGAATGATAAAACCTAATTAAAAAAGAAAGTCTAAATTACAAAAATTTCTCCCCAAAAGAAACCGTTTTGTTAACTAAGTGAATTAGAATTAGGCTAATTGTAATGATTCAGATTTAAAGAATTAGAAATTCCTTATAATTATTGTGTTTCTTGTTCATCACAGTATTATCTTGCTCACCACAGTATTACCCTAGCGCCTAGCTCAGTCTGTGACAAAAAGGGCTTTCAAAAGTATTGTAAAAGGGATATATGAAGGGTGAAGCCCGACTCCTGCCCAAAGGCTGCAGATCTCTCTTACGTAAGGTCTTTCTGCCCTTAAGTAGCTAAAATATTTCCTAAGTCTTTTCTCATTATTTGCTGGCTTAATTTCCTAATTTTCAGTGCAACTTCTATGCAGTTATAACAAATATTAAATTCATGAATTACATATTAATTAGCTTTTGTGCATCTTCTCACCGAACCCATTCTAACTCGACAAGTCTGAGATCTAGATATGTTTCAGAGTGCTTTTTCTTAAGAAAGGTAATTCAGGGAATATGCCATATATTATTAAAAACCTCCTGTAAGACCTAGAGCAGCACCCTGTGATTAAACACGTGAATGTTTCTGCAGCAAAATGTAAGAACGGTCACACTAGTAGAATAAATAAAGATTGTAAATTGTCTCATGTTAGTTCAAGATGGGTTTTGCAACAAATAGTTCACATCAGCGCAGGATTTTTACCAGAATTGTGGACCTGAAACAGGTAGGTCACACAGCGTATCACAAGGCTCTTAGGAAATGCTAAATGTTACAAGTCAGAGCCCACAGGCTACCCTAACTCTTCCCTTCTCCTGCTGCAGTCCCTGGCAACCAAATAGAATTTTAAAACCTTCTCATCTCTATTAACATGCACAAAAGCCTCTACCTAAATGTGTAACTGAGCTTTTTCTCTAATTCTGCGAGACTTCATCGCAGCTCTGTTCATCCACCATGCCAGCATTGAATTCTGTACCAGGTCATACTGGTTTTTATGAGTGTTAGTCATTTTTATCTGAAAAGGCAACTTGAAATCAGAGTCTGCTATTTCACATGCATTTAAAAACTATATACTGAGTGCCTACTATGTTCTAAACACTGGGTACACAGCAGTGACTAAAACAAAGTACCACCCTCAAGAAATTATATTTTAAAGCAGACAGATGACAAACAGGTAGGCAAGTAAATGGATATTCGGCTATATGATTTTAAGTGCTAAAGAGAAAAATAAAGCAGGAAAGGATACAAAGAGAATGCAGAATAAGTCATTCAGATAATTCAACGAAAAGCACTCTTGTCAGAACAGACAGTACGGCCTAGTACAGTGGACTTCCCTGACCACTCCCCCTACCAAATAAGAACTGATCCCTTCCTTATTTGTTCTCTCACCATGCTCTATGTATTATCTCAGTATTTTGCAATTATTTGGTATGTCAGTATTGCTTCCCAAGCTTAAGGCAAAAATAATGTGTTATTCCATAAGCTGGCAACTATTTTTTGTAAAGAGCCACATAGTAAATAGCTTAGACATTCTGAGCCATACAGTCTCTGTTGGCAACTACTCAACTCTGTTTTTTGTTCTGAGAAAGCAGTCATAGACAACATGTAAAGGAATGAGTATAGCTGTGTTCCAATAAAAATTTACTTACAAAAAATAGACAACAGGCCAGTTTGACCCACAAGTAGTCGTTTGCCCACTCCTATCTTACCCTTTAAATCCCTAGCAATGAATGACAATATTTTTTATAGAGAAACTCAAAAATATATTTATCATTTCAAACAGAATATTAATAATCCCTAGTTTAAATGAATTAAGTATCGGAGAAAATGCTAATTTAGTGGCTGGCTATCCTTGCTGATAGACTCACCAGCCATTGACTACAGTGAGTGTTTGTCAAGTTCTTACCTAAAGTGTAGGCTACAAAGTTGAGGATGCCCACTACAATCCAAACCCAATCAGGTACATGCTTGTGACCCGGCGCTGCAAGAGAAAGCAACTCAGTTTAATACAGTCTATGTACAATCAGTCTTACCATAGTATAAACTGCCAGCAAAAAAAGGTTTCTATTTATTAAACGGAAGTTACAGTACTTTACAATATATTTTACTTTATTATTTTTTTTATTCTCACCTGAGAACATTTTTAATTTCTTTTTAGAGTGAGAGGAAGGGAGAGAGAGAAATAGCGATGAGAGAGAGAAGCACCTACTGTCTGCCTCCCTTTCATGCCCAGACCAGGGATTGAACCCACACAATCTAGGAATGTGCCCTGACCAGGAATCAAATCCAAAACCTCTCTCACTTCCCCCTACCCTTCCTCTCTCTCTTTAAAAAACTCAATTAAAAAATTAAAAAAAGAATTAGGAGGCCTGGGTTCTAGTTCTGGCTCCCAGTCAATGAGCACTGTGGTCTGAATGTGTCATTCAAACTCTCCTGTCTCCCATTTCCCAAATATACTGGGACAATGTGGTTGATTTGGTCCTTCAAGTTCTATGATTTGAGAAAATATATATAATATTTATATATTTTTGGTTCTCTTAATAATTAAGTAAATATTCTTAGAGAAAATAATATTTCTAGTTAGAAAGTAAACTTTTGAGGCTGTCCTGAGGGTTAAAATACAAATTAAAAAAAACAAACAAACACATTACCAAAACCATGCTTAATGAAATTTAATCTTACTTATTATTCATATGGTACTTTATGACCGCCAATTACCATTTTCTTACATGTACAAAAGCTATGGCTAAAACTTTCAGTTGATCAAGTTAGGTATATATATTCAGAATTTCTATAATAGCTAAATTCCTAAGCATTTAAAACTCCAAAATTTCCTACAAAAATAATGTTCTCGGTGACTGTTAATTTCTCCAGGTTAGTCCACAAAAGCCTGCTGAATCCAGAAACGCAGGTACACTGTAATACTGAAACTGACTACATCGCGTACAAGTATTCTTATTGGAAACTATATGCTCTTCAAATGCAAAAAATACTCATCTACCTCCATCTTCCTAGTCCACTAAACCCCATCAACTGGATGAAAGGTAAAAATAAACCCTGTCTCCCACGCTCCACCCTCATCCCAATTACACCCCACGCTCACGCCTACTGCCTGGGGCAGGGGTTGGGTGTGGCAGACAGTAAAGACAGAAATAGGCCTGAAAGAGACACTGGAGTCCCAGGTGGGAATAAGCTGAAAACAGCCTTCCCCACAGTGATTTTTTCCCATCTTCCTCAGTAAGAATCCAGACTTGTCAATAAATACTTACAAGTCTAAGAACGCTTTTTAAAGGAAACTGGGAATTATTAGAGGTAAGGATGCTGGGCATAGAGAAAGAGACACGACATTCCCTTTAGAAAATGGGATTTTGTTCCCATACCTAGAAAAAGGAAGGAGTATTTCTGGATTTGGTAGGTAGGCTGGGCTCTATTTATACTCATTTTCAGGCAGTTTTACATTCCTGGTCCTCGATCTTCTTTTAAGTACATTATTCTTTACTTACCAAAACCTTATGCTTTTGGACACCATATCTAAATTAAATAGCCAAGTTAGTTTCTGGATCTTAATAACAACATATATATAGATTGTGAAACTACAACTTAGCTTTTATACCCTATTATAACCAAAACTTTTCAGAAATATAAGCATCTTAATAAAACCAGAAAATAACCATATAATTTTTCTCTATTTAGACAACATAAATTTTATATTAAAAGTAATAATCTTACCTGAAGCATAAAAGTCAGGATCGAAGTATGCCATAAGAAGGAAATTGAATACAACCAGCAGAAAGCCAGAAAAGGTGATCAGATTTGGAGCCAGCCATGTAGGAAATACCTATTTTTTTCCAAAATAATTACAATATAGTTAAAGTAGAGAAATATCTCTGTCTACACATATAACAACATGCAAATTTAAGTTATAGCAAAAGTTATAATTTAAAAGATCACATACAGGAGTTACTGATATTAAAATGTAAAGCATAATCTCCAGTTGATAGGAAAAAGCACTTCTTTCTATTCTGTTTTAAATAATTCTATAATCAACAAATTTCTACAATCATAACATTACATTTATTTTAGAAAATTTTACAAAATTTTAAATTCCAGAGTTTAAGTTGAGATCTCAAGCAATGACATAAATCAAAAGGTACAGGGTGCGGAGGACCCAAGAAAACCCAGAACTTATTTATAAAAAATTGTGTATTTATTCTCACATATTTAAACTCCAGTCACCTTCAAAGTACTCTCCATTTGATGCAATACACTTATCAAGACTTTTTTCCCACTGCTAAAAAGTTTTTGAACTCATCAATTTTAATGCATTTTTAGTGCTTCTGCCATTTTTTGTTTCACCTCTTCCACATAGACAAAACGTTTCCCTCTGAGGATTTTTTTCATCCAGGGAAACAAAAAAAAAAGTTGCTGGGACAAGACTGGGTGAAAAGGGATGATGGGGCAGGGGGTTCATGCCGTTTTTGGTCAAAAACTGCTCAACACTGAGCATGGTGTGGTCATGTGCGCTCATAAATCACCCATCATACAATGGGCAAACGCACTGAAAAGAATCTTCAAAAAAAATTCACTGAAGCTAAAATCAGCTGGTGCACTGATGCAGATGGGCGCCTAGAACCCTGACCTAGTGGGAGAAACCTGTACTACAAGGGGCCTGCCCTCCAGAAGATAACTCTGGGGGTTTTTATGGTGGGGGGGGCGGCCCCCTTTGTATACGACTAAGGGAAAGGAGACAGGAGGGGTAGTTTCTCTAGATATCTTTTTGAGCTGACCATTACATCTGTAACACTTCATAAAACAGTTAAGATATTTAAAACTTTCTAAAACATTAAGTGCATCCCTACTAATCAGCTTACCTTTACTATAGTGTTCCAAAACGGGTGCATGACATACAGAGAGAGTGGGTTGGAATCCACAGCACTATACTGTTAAGAAATGCAAGAAAATATTCAGAGTTAATCCTTACACACTAACAAACAGAACAATTTCTTAACTGAAAATAATAGTACAAAAGTAACTTGGAAAATACGTCTATTTACATGATGTCATCATCTGAATAGTGAAACTGGAGGTGCATTATAAATGAGGCAAAAACTGTCAAGTATACCCAGTTATTTTTTACTCAACTTTTATATTATCATGTTTCAGTAGAAAAACCTATATTGCTTATAAGGTTTCACTTACTATACAGGATCAGTAAAATGTACACTGTGTGCATTAAAACATACCCATACACCTTTTCAACCTACTTCACCCCTCTCAACTTACAGGAATCTAGTTGTTTTACCACTTGATTCCATCACTAACACACTTACTAGCTGTGTGACCTTGAACAAGTTACTTAACCTCTCTGCCTTAGTTTCTTCACCTGAGAGATGGGGATGATAGCCTTTACCTCAAAGGGTTGCCATACGGACTAAATAAGCCAAAATAATAATATGCATGAGGCACTCTGAATAGTACCTGGCCCACAGTAAGTGTTGTATAAGTATTAGATATTATTACTATGAAATGTGTTTGAGCACCAAAAGAATGACAGATACTTTTACAGCAGGAATAGGGACTGTACAAATAAGGAAAGGGAGATAACAGGTTAGAATTCTCTGGTAATCAAGTTTATTCCCCAATTATTGAGCTACTTAGTAAAACTTTCAGAAGAAATGTTAACAATATCTGTATACAAACATGTAAAACTTCAAGAATGGTGTTGATGATGTACTCATCAGACACACACACTAGGGTATTCCTCTAGGTGTGATAAGGGACAGTTCCCACCCTCAAGAAGTAGCTATATTACCTAATTCATCCAGCCTACATTTAAGCAACATCATACTAGTCAGGTATTTGGAAAAAGTTTACTGTGTTTTGTACTTATGCTTGGTATGCATATAAAGTAAGTAGTAAGCATTTGAGTATCTAACTTTTTAAAAAATCATAAAGATCAAAATTACTTACTGAATGAATATGCAGGAACTATTTTTCTCATGAGTGTCTCAAGACTTAAAAGTGTAACGGAACAAAAAAGTAAATATTTTAAAATACTGCAAGCAAAGAGAGTCAAATGTTTATTCAACAAACTCCATGTGTGAGTGCCTCCATTTCTCCATCCCATTCTGAATGAAATGGGATAATGTGGACAAAAGATCCGAGATAAACTGTGGGGAGGAAATGGGGGTGGAGAACAGAGCCGGACACTGCGGAGCTGCATCCAGGCTCTCAGCAGGAGCTACTTAAATGAGCAGTATACTGGTCGTACAAAATCAACTTCTACTTCACAGTTCCCTACTGCCTACAAAGCTTTTCCACCTAATAGATACCATTACATCTGAACTTCTGCAGGACGAAGGAGTTCTCAACTGAGGCAATGCCGGAATTTAAGTCTTCCGACCTGAGGGCACAGAGCCAATAAGAGCCCCTACAGGCTGCCGACGGCAAAGTGGTGAGGCCCGGGCCTCACAGAAGTCTGCACCCAGACCCACAGGACAGAGCCAGCGGATCAGATGAACTGGAAAACCACACACTTCAAGTCCCCCACCTACTGCAAAGTACAAAAACTGTAAGAAGTCCAAATGAGAATAGCTAATCACACAAATAGTTAATATGATACACAAAATACGATGCTCTTAATTCAAATGTTTGCTGAATGAGTTTCATTCAATAGCTTTCCATAATTTGAATTAGCTCTAAAAGAAGGTCCTTAACTGATGGTATTTCGATTTGAAAAGCTCTTCGTAAATTCTTAAGTTTTAACTCTGAATCTCTATTTCAAGAGACCAGTGGAATTAGGAAAAGAATGTTGAGAACTAAATACAAGGTTAGTTTGTCGAAATGACTTTTTTACATTTTATAACAAGCTGATGAGCTCAAGTATAGCAAGGAAGATTAAGATGAGATTACAAAAGACAGCAAGCAATAAACCTAAAGAACACTGTTTTAGCCTTAAACACCTGAGTGCTTTTTGAGGCTACTCGTCACTTGCTTTAAACAAAGAAACTTGAAACCATCTTGGGAATCAATAGGAGGAAAAAAGAATGATTCAAACCTTCCACGTGTGTGAAAAAACAAGTAAAATATAAGCTTTTAAAGGTGTTAAACTAGATTTAGGTTATTTGGTAAGGCTGGCCAAATATATTTTTATTTCCCATTGGAATGATGTTTTGATATACACCACAGTACTCAGTACTAACGAGGAGGACTGTCCGCTGTGAAGGTCTACTGTGCCTTGCTCGGCCCTACCACCCGCTGAGCCAGGCTAGGCTAGTGCCTTGGAGAAATGCTCGAGGACCACGGCCTGAGTTTGAGAGAATCATACCAATGCAAAACCTCAGAACCTTACAAAGTCAAGCAGACAAGGGTCTAGTTTTTCATCCAAACAGTATTCCTTGAAATATTTGAAGACAGCTTTCCCTGTCACACCTGAAAACATCCCGCAGCCCTTTTGCGGCTCCTCTTTTGCCATGGTTCCAATCTCCTTCATCATGTAGGTCAGCTCCCTAGACCAGAGGATGAAAGGCATTTTCTGTCGCGGGCCAAATCATAAATATTTTAGGTCTCTGTAACAAACACTCAACACTGCCACTGCAGCAGGAAAACAGACACAGGAGATATGTGAAAAATGAGTATGGCTGTGTTCAAATAAAACTTTATTCACAAAGCAGGTGGCCTGTGCTCCAGGCAATCCAATTTGTTGTTAAACCACCACACACAAAGGTGTGATCCAGGGCAAAAGGAGCCTTTCAAGTGGTGCATTGAGTAGATCAAGAACATGACTATAAGCCCCTCTTCCTAAATAACTTATTTCTCTCACTGATGCTCCACATATTATTAATTTCCTATGGCAACAAAATCATCCTGCAGACTCACATACAGCTTCACAGTCACCTGACCCCTCAGGCCTTTCTTACACGGACTACTAAGCCACCTTCCTCCATGCCAATGTGAGGCTGACTATTGGAAGCTCAGTGTAAGACTCTACATTTACCATTTTAACACTTCGTCCAGACAGACTCAACTCATCTTTCCATCCATCCCCTCTAAATCTCCTCAGAGTCAGAGTCAGCTATCCGAGGTAAGAGCTGTGCTTCCCTAAACTCTCAGCATGTAAATCTGCCATGCTAATGATGCCTTCACTTAAAATGCTGATCAAGGTAGAACTTCTGAACATTTCTCTCAAGACTGCTATTACTATATTTAATAATTTTTATTTGGGTATACAATTCTATCTGTCATCTTCAGCAATTACTCTATATTAGAGACAAGAAAAGATATTCAGAAAGTCTTAACAAAATCCAGAATTACCTTCAATAGCATTTTGTCAACTATTAGTAAGTTTCAAAACGTTTTTTCACTTCAATACAAGGAAATAAAGCAGAGTCCATTCCTTCCTTCCTTCCTTCATTCATTCATTCAGTAAGTCAACAAATATTTATGATTGCCTATGATTTTGCCAGGAATTGTGCTAGGTCACCGGGAAGAGAATAGTGAACAGGACCAAATTGTTTCCTGTGCTCACTGAGTCTACAGTCTAGTGTGGAATGGACGGTAAGCAAGAAGACAAGTAACAATCATAAGCTGTCACAAAACTATGAAGGAAATAAAGAGGGCACTGTGCATGAAGATAGCGGACCAGGAAGTGGGCCTAACCAGAGTAGCCAGAGAAAGCTTCTGTAAGGAGAGGAGGCTGAAGCCGGGTCCTGCGAGATGAGAACAGTCAGGTATGGAGCGTCTGAGACAAAATAATGAGTCCAAGAAACGAGACACTAATCAGGACATTCTGTTAAAGATTCCCTTTTAATGGCGTTCAAAAACAGACAAAATTAATTTACAGCAAAAGAAATCATAAGCGCAGTTTGGTGACAGGGCTGAAGGGGGCCTTCTGAACTGCTAGCGATCATTCTGTGTCTTGAACTGGGTGGCAGTTACATGGCTATATACATGATTAAAAATTCATTAAATTATACGTTTAAGATCTGTGCGTTTATATATAATGTATACCTACAAAAAAAGAAAATAAAAAATATACAAAAGGTTTACAATTGTTCATACAGAAAATAATACAATAATAAACGTTTTCACATGCAACTGTAAACCTATTTTGGGCCCCTCCGGTGGGGCAGTGTGGGGAGGGCAGGGGAGTCCCAACCCACCTTCCAAGCAGAGAGAACAATACGTACAAAAACCACAAAGCTAGACATACTTGAAATGCTGTTGGAAGGCCAATGAACGCAGCTACAGCTTAGCATAGAAGGAAGAACATTTTGAAATGAGACTGGAGATCAAGGCAGACACCACCCGGCAAGACCACAATGGGCTGAAGTTTATCTAAGCCCAGGGCATATCCTTATTCATATTTTTAAAGGATCACACTGATCACAGAGTAGAAAATGGACTGGATGGGGGCAAAAGTGAAAATGAAGCCAGTTAAGACACTGTTACAGCACATGAAGCAAGAGACAATTACAGATTAGACTAGGAGCAGTATAATGACCTCTGAATTACTTCCAAAATATCTTGTGAAGTGCCCATTTTTAAGGACATTAGAAATGTGAGTCTCCTCTTAATTTAAGAAGGAAATTGGCTCTAAGAGAAGAAAAACTATGGAACTGCCTCCTTGAACCTAAAAATATTTCCTTTATACAGGCACTGTATTTTAAACCCCTCTGTGTACTGATAAGAAAACAAATATGAACTCACTCACCCTTGCACTAAATACAGAGATCCGAGTAACTTATTAATTAGATTGAGGCTACTGTCCCAAGTAATGTTCAACTATGTATAATTAGATTTCCTTTGCTTTATCTGTCTTCTAATCAACATGAGAATAGGACTCTTACTCTCAAATGATTTTTAATACAGGCCTGTCTTTTACACATCTGAAATATAAACTTTGTACCTGTAAAACATATTTTAGTTAACTGTGGAAATC